CCACCCCTTCCTCCTGACAAACATGGTTTGTGGCTGGATTGTGCAACGATCCCGTGGTCCTTCACACAGACGCACCTGTTAGCTAGAATGACGCAACCGCCAATTGCCTACTTTTCTGCCATAACAGTTTACCCTGGCCCCTTCAGGCAACTCATCTTCCTCTTCACTTTCGCTGTCCTTTGAATCATTTTCGTCTGAGTTGCTTGCATCCCCAAATTCCAGTAGTAGTTCATCTTCATTTTCCGAGTCCTCGCTGACACTGACATCATCATCTTCTGACTGGGTGTCCGAGTCTTCCGTTGCTAGTGCAGTTTCAGCAGCACTCAATGTCAAGATCCTTTCACATAAACCTTTGCTGATGTGAGCTGACAGAAGGTTAAGTTTTTCTGATTTGGACATTTTTCTCCTTGATAAGTTGTGGCGAAAAATATATTTATTGAGCTCAGCAACCTTCAGCTTTTTTAGGTTTCCGATTTGTAGAGTTCCTCCCAGTTATAGTCACTGTAACCTTTTGTTTCTTCATCTTTCTTTGCCTGACGCTTTTCGTCAAAAAGCAGGGGAAAAGTAATAACACTGCAGTTGGGGATAAACCCAAAGCTAGCCAAAGTTTTTTATCTTGGACCGACAAAGCCCTTGGAAAACCATGGAAAAAGAAATCACTGGGCTATATTCCCTCTCCAAAAGGTGAAAGATCAATAGCATATATGGAACTTCTACCCAGGTTTTATAAGGCAGTCTGGCCTTATTGCAATTCAGATAGCTATTTCAGAAACCAGTTCATGAGAGAGAGAAGCCGACAATACGAAACCAACATAAAGGTGGGGACACTGCAACAGAAACTGGATTTCAAAAAAGGAGACAATCCAGCTGCATATGGAAAGTATTTTACCACTTCATATATTCCAAGAGCCAGTGATTTTGCTGTTTTGTCTAAACATTTGGATCAGCTCACTAGCTTGAAAACTGAAGTAAAGAAGCTCAAAAACGAAGTGGTAGCCATGGATCAAGGCCTTTTTGATAAGAGTGGTAGGTGCCTTTCTCCTGGGAAATCTATTCACCGTGACTTAAATTCTGCTACAGTGAACAAGCTTAATGAGCTAGGTCAAAACGCTTGAGCATTTATGGCTCAGGTTGATGAAAAGCTAAAGGAGTTACAGAGCACATCCAAGGGCTTGGTCTTCAAGCCATCTACCTCCAAAGCTCGAAAGAGGAAGCAAAACAAAAGGAATGGTATCAAACGAAAGTTAGCCAGGATGGAGAATGCAAAAACAAGGGTTCTGCAAAAGGTTTTACCAAGGGTCAACCATGACAACGTTGATATAACTATTGGGGTGGAAGACATTTTCATTGCAGCATTAGTAAGCTTATCAAGAAGGGAGGCAAAGGTTTTGCATGAGACACTCAAGTCAGACAACCGATTCTCAGAAGCTGCTAGGGCCTACATTTTCTGATTCCTTACCACCATCCTTGGCCTTATCTGATAGTGAGAGCCTAAGTGACTCTCACTCTGATCAGTGACAGACAAGGAACTGTGACATTATTTTAACAACCAGTCTGTGTTAACCAAACTTCTCTTTAACAGTTTCTTTCAGATATTAAAAATTGTTGTTGTTGTTGTTGTTGTCATCTAATAATCAATTCAGTTGGTGCGACTGGGGCTTTTATACATTTCAGTGGCACAAAGTTCATTTGAGTCTCAAATTAGCTTTGTAACGTTAAGGGTTCAAAGATCAGTTTGTATAAACTTGTATAATAATTATTAAAAAAAAATAAGTGACCCCCCCTCTTTGTTGTGTCAAATTTATGCTGACCCTCCCTTTTTGGGCAGGCAAAAAGTTAATGACCCTCCCCTGAATTCCTCCGGCCCACCCCCCCTTCTAAAAAATGAATGCTCCCTAAATATGTGAAATGTCAGAATCTGTTTTCCGCCACAGCCTAGAATCATGCAGAATCGCCATGGCTCAGTCACTCAAAAGGTACACGTACAAGAAGAAAAGTTAACGCCCCGAAGGAGCCCTAACCAAGGTGGTCTTGGGACATGCTCCTCCATTTAGGGTCTCTGAATTGCCATCTCCTGCGTTTTCCGCAGGAAATTTTCAGCAAATAAAGACGAAGGAAAATTCAGCAGTTGTTTTTTTAGGAGCACCCAACGGCGGTTTCCTCCTAATTGCATTGAAAAAGCTTTTTAGGCCATCCAGGGTACTTTCAGATCTCTAGAAATGTATTGTAAGTGGCGTTAAAAAAATTATATCTGTTCGGTCATCCTAGGGCAAATTGAGTCTTTTCGACAAGGGCTTCAATAACGTTTTCCCGAAAATTTTAGCTGCAATTTAAAGTTTTACGAAAGAGAGAATTTTTCTGATTCCTCTCTGGATCGTATTTCCGATTCCGAAAATTTTAGGTTTCCTTCTCTACGAAAAATAGCTTAATCTTGGGGAAATGGGAAAAATTTAACTTCAGAAAATCGTATCAGTAAGCTATAGTGACTTTACGGGAGAAAGGGCAATAGTGACGTAATTAATAAGGTAACAAGCAATGGGCGAGATGTGTGCCCTTCAGAAGGGGCAAACGCCGTACAACGCCATCAATATCAATTGACCACTCCAGAAAATATCATAACATACCATAACGCTCTTTGTTTGTCCCTTCAAAATTTTGCATAAGCATTGTCTTCAAATTTCTCTTGGGAGTTAAAATGGCCACAAGAGAAACTGAGCTTATTTAAATTTTTGGGGTGACAAACAAAGAGCATTATGGTATGTTGTGGTATTTCTGGAGTGGTCAATTAACGTCCTCGCGTTTGTCAATGTGCAGAATTTCAAGACAGCTCAATCTATCCTCTCTTATGCTCCGTAGTAAAGGAGTTTTCAGTCTCTTCATACTCCTAAAGCTACGCTCGCCTGTGCATGTTGACAAATGACAAGTAACAACGTTATTTAGAGCTACATATAGAGCGTATTTACTTACGTAGCCAGCACCTATGCTAACTACGAACAAACGAAAGTATTTTCATAAGAAAAGAGTTCAATTCCCACAGGGTTGTTTTGGTACACCAACATGGCCGCCGTCTCATTGTTTTGGAACACCAATATGGCCGCCGTGACGTCATGTGAATACGCTCTTTACACCAGGATAGAATTGGGGATTAGCATACATCCGTAGTCAAAAGACTCAACCAATGTCTGTGGCTTCAAATTGGGATCCATTTCTCTCCACATAAAAAAAAAAGACGAAGAAAATAACAAGACAAAGAAACCAACAAAAAAACAATGCAAAAAATTTGTCAGTCATCCCGATTTTATGATAAAAATGCTTTAAGGAAATTAAAAATAAAAGCAGATTTCAGTTGTACGCACGGGCGTATGTCGGCGTATGTGGACGCTCACTCCTGATATGAATTCCAGTGTGATACATAATTTGAAGAAGGGATAGGCAAAAACGGATTAAAAAGAACGGTGGTCTAGTAGCTGCCCAAGACGTGGGAGAAACAGCACTTGGTCCAGATCTGTGCAAAAAGATATTGCCGAGGGCTTAAACGTGCTGCGCAATTTAAAGGAAAAATTGGTGTGGTAAAAAAGTCTCGTGACTCGCAACGTTTTAGGTCAAATTAGCCGACACTTGTGATATCAATAAAGAACAAAAATAAACATTTAATCAAAGCCGCAACGGTTTCACAGAAACCATAACAACACCGTTTTTATAAATCTATATTCTATTGGTTTTTCCTATAATCCTACAGGTTTTAGTATCGTTTCTATTCAGTGATAATGCAATGCAATATCAGAACACTATATACTTCTGAAACTCAACATCTTTTGTTACTCAGAATCCAGAATCCATTAATGCTGTAACAACTATCGCTACAAAATTGCGACACCGTAATAGTTCAAACTACGGATAGAGTTTTTAAGGGTAGAATCTGGCTAGAGCCTTTCACCCGAAGGTTGTCTAGATGACTGGAATAATCGTCATTATACGGGGAACATAGTTATATCGAGGATCGTTACATCGGGGTTCTGATTTCATTCTACGGACAAAAGACGGTAAATCTAAAAAACCTGCCCTGCAAAAGCGACGATCTTAAATTTAAGAAAAACGACAGGCGCAGATATATTCAAATTAATGTCACTTTCCATCCCAACATTACTCTTATCTGTGAGTAAAGACGGCGAATAACATGAAAACCAACGTTTTTACACTATAAGCTCAAGTACTTAGGCAATCAAATAACGTGTCTGTATCGTTACCATGAAAACGGTAAAACATTCTTATATAGAAATTTGTTTTATCCTGCGTAGCTAACAGTTTCTTTTGAGCACGATAGCATAACCTTTGCTCACTCGCCGTCCCTTTCGTTAACGGTCGCTGCAAATTTTAAGACACTAAGAAAATTTTTGACCTATTTATTGAGAGTGTTTCTATTAAAAAGAAAGAAAATCGAATCTCTCTCTTACCACTACACTACCACACCGACCCGCCAAAATTCCGAAAAATTTAAGTAAATCCACTAGCAAACTGTCTTTCTTAACGTTTACATCAATAACAGGTGACCCTAGCCCTTTCTAACACTATTCAAAAACGTATTATTTGACTTAATGTAACTTAATCCAGGGAATATATTACATCTGTCATGACTAAAGACTTGGTTACCAATGGTGGGAAATAGGTCTCGCCGCAGCCGTGACGAGAAAAAACAAGAGAACGAAACGAAATCTTCTTCCCTCGCAATTTCTCTTCTCGACGTTTTTTCACATGAATCTGAGCAACAAAGCTCTTTATTTTATCTTTTTTTTAACCCTTTCACTGCCAAATGTCACCAGAGGCAAATTCGACAAAAATCCCAAATTTCATTTCGTAAAATTTTTAAAAACAAATAGCACCACATGAAAGTACTTCCTAAGAGATTTCATTTGAATGGCCGTTCCACAGGATTTTGACCACAGACATAAAAGTTAGAACCACCTCACAAAACTCCATCATTCACTCCGGCAGTGAAAGGGTTAAACAAGGGCGCTTAAATCATCATTGTTGATGCTTCCTAGGTTCTCAAAATACAGAACTCTCTGGCCACCCTGCTTTCGATATTTGATAAGAGACGGGTTACGAAGCAGTGTCACAGCGACGTGCCAGCGGTTGGCTGCTTTACAAGTCATGCGTGGAAGGCGAGTTTCTCGAGGGTAACCTGAATACGAAAAAGAAAAGAAAAAATTATTAAGCACCTCTTGCCCAACACAAATTCAGGATGTTTATTCTTAACGAAGGATAATGGTCCTCTCCCATCATACCTTAAGCCCCCTTTGTTGCGTCTGTGAACTTCCATTTGAAGAAGTAAGGAGATGTTTTCACATGAAAGGATAAGTTACATTCATTTTCCTGAACAATAACAGAAAAGAAAACAAGAGCTGACGAAAGTCAGAAAAATCTGGGGGCGCGAGATTCTGTCATGAACTTGGAGTGAGAAATGAGGCTCTAATATTTACGTATAAATGACGAGCAAATACATACAACTCCCTTCTCCTGACTCAACATCAGATTCGAGTGGTTGGATTCGCGGAAGAGACTCTTCGAGCCAGCGATCTTTATTTCTTTTAATCAGCAGTTGACAGAACACGAGCATCACGGGATGGCTGTGCGCCACAAGAACGTTGATAAATCCAAGGTACGCTACGAAGGCTAAAAGGAAACAGAAAAGACGCGAGGTAAGTTACAATCACTCTCTATGTATTTTATAGTGAAATAAAGTATGCAGTCACAGGCTGAGGTTAGCAAAAAAGGGATAGAAAAACTTGAAGATAATAGGGTTCTATAAAGTACTGTAGAAGTACTGATTTATTTTATAAACATCTATCACAAAGTAGCGTAGAATGGTGTGAATCAGAAGCCTTAAACAGTTGATCAAGTTTTTTGCACTTATAATTAAAACAACAACAACAACGTTAAAAGGACTAAGCCTGGTTCTCATACATGTATGTTGCCAACCTATGTGCGACATAGCCACCGTTACTACCTGCAATGGGTTACTTTACGGAAATATGGGACCTGTAACTGGCAACAAAGGCCCTCACAAGTCCATAGCCGGTATGCTTGCAAAGTTCACGAGTCAACTTCCCAAGCGCACCTGCAGTAACGAATGGTTTGGCATTTTTCAATCTTCATCTTCATCATCATCAACATCCACATCGTCATCGTCATCACCATCATCATCATTATTATTGCTTCAATTATGTGCACATACCCTGGTCCCAAGTTTGGAATCCCTGCATCAGCGATGTCCGGTCAATGCGAGACAAAAACACAATTCCCAGAATCATTCCTTTCAAAATACGCATGACGCAAGAGAACACTCCAACAATTATGTTGTAGAAGAAAAAGAAGTATGACACAATGGAAAACAAGCGTCTGAAAGGAAAAAATTAAACAATGACATCTTTAAGAAGTTTACTGGACTTGAAGAGTAAAAATAAAACGCGATTTCTTCTTTCCGTTTTTTTCTTTCTTTAATAAATTTCACAGAAAAGAGAAGAAACTTTAACTCTGCAAATACGTTAAAGACACTTTTACTCTCTAAAAATGGAATCAATTTAGTGCCCTCCCCCCTGGATAATAGCAGCCTCAAGGTAACTGAGGAACAGCAAGCGGGTGGAGAGGACTAAACAAGGCTTCCGGTTTCTTTTATCCGCTCTGCCCTGTAAAATTCACTTTTTAGATCAGCGCGCGCCGTCGTAACTATCGTCACATTGTCTTTGCTAAATCTGCATGATAGTGGGTGGTTACAGCCTATAGTCTTAACACAAATTATAGTGGTGCATGTTTGTTCATGTTGGGTATACCTGTACCTGTTATCCACAGTAACAGTTATGTCTGGAAAATCTCTGTTTCGGAAGACAAAGAGAGCGAGGAACAACTGGAACAACATCAAGAAAACAACCGTGCTCACTGTTGGTCTATAAGCAAAGTAAGAGTGGGTAATGTCAAAATAACTACCGTAAAATTCCGAAAATAAGCCCCTCCAAACATAAGCCCCCCGATCTCATAACACAAAAAGCCCTCCGTTAAATCGCCCCTCCAAATATAAGCCACCCGGGGGCTTGTACTTGGAAATTGCCCTCAAATACAAAGTAAAACAAAGCAAAAACGGTAAATTTCCTTCCAACTATAAGGCTAGCCCTATCGTTTTTGAAACGCAAATTTCCCTCCGTAGATAAGCCCCTCCGAATATAAGCCCCTCCAAAAACAAGCCCCTCAAAAAGAGCCTTTGAAAAATATAAGCCCCGGGCCTTATTTTCGGAATTTTACGGTATCTGGCATTTCCACAATGGCCGTTTTCACAATAGAAATGGATAGACAGACTGTGACGATGGATTACCTATCCACCTGAGAAAGATAATTTGTCTCCAGTGTGAAAGCAGCAAACCATTGGCACTTCAGAATAATTGAACAAAGGTCATTAGACGTATTATACATGTAAGGCAGGCTGCGAAAACAGCCGAGATTTCGCGACACCAGCAACAGTTTCCCCGCGGAATGAAGTCTGGGGAATGAGCGCAGATATTCCACACTGATGACGTGACGTATTCAGGTCTTTTAGCACTTCTGATTGGTGAAAGTAAATTTTCAACCAATCAGAAGCACTATCCACATCTGGCTAGTGTCGAGTGAACAGTATGAAATTTTTGCGCTTGTTCCCCAAACATTATTTCGCGGTGAAACTGTTGGTGCCGCCGGGAAATGTCGGCTGTTTTCTCAGGCTCTACCTCAGGCGGATGGTCCGTCTTCAAATCCGTCAAAACAGAAGAATATAACTGGTCGGACAGTTTACTTCCCGAAAATGAAAACTGTCCAGTTTTCACGTACGGATTCTTCGTCTGCGACGAATTGTTCAATAGAGAATCCGTCAACCCCGATATGATTTCATCCACCCATATTCGAAACACAAGGATGCGCCTTAACCAACTGAGATATGGGAAAACTCGTGGACGTTAAAGGCGATATACCAGGTTTAAATGTGACAACACGACATGGTTTTGCGTTAAAGCTTTGTGCGAATGTAATCCGCGACCATTGCGATGTTGACTTTCATACTATCTACTGCGTCCGAGGCTTTTTCACGTTTACTATACTATTTACGTTTAGGACACGTGGATGTTCTGTTGTCGAGACTCTGTTGGATAATTGCAGTAACAAGTATTCAAGCTAAAAAACAACAGACAGAAAAGAAAGACAGGAAAGGGTCCTTCACTCGGAGCTTCGTGAACACCGCCCTTCTATCCTACGGCTTCTAAAAATTGAGATGGACTAAGAGAATCGTGTAAAGAGAACGTTTTAACTTACATGAATGCAATTATCAGCTGCTTGTAAACTTCCCACATCTCTCGAGTCAAAAGAACTTTCGCGTACTTGAAGGCGAATCCAAGAAAAGTACACACGAAAGCCAAAAAAATTGCCAAGACGACGTAACCTGCAAAAATTAAGCAAACAGCGAAGCATATTGTTAATATGTTGTAAGACGTTTGGCTGGGCATAAGCTGAGTTTATTGCCTCCTTGTCACTGAATTCACTGTGATAACTACATTCTCGTCTACAGCTTGAGGCTGCGATCCTTTTGGTCAAGAACATAAGAATCTTCCTCATCATCACCATCACTGTCGCTGTCATCATCATTTCAATCAATTCAGGCAACAAAAACACAACAACAAATTTATTTCAAATTAAATATAGCTTACAATGCTTGTGCACGCAATTAGCCTTATTAGCGAAGGCTATTCGAGGCGGGTACAAGAGAAAAAAGAAAATTCTAGAAGCAATCTAGTTTGTCGTGTGCTTTATAGCCAGAGTGAGACAGGAAGGCAGACTGTACTTCACACGGAAGTACACCATGTTACGATTTTGAGAATTGCCCTCTAATATCAGAAGCTCTAACATAGTCGTCCTCTTTTTCCAGTATTTCAAAGAGTTTTCAGGCGCCACCTTCGAGGTAGCGGCAAGTGGCCGCGCGCATACTGGAGGTTGGCGGCTCAATAGAGGTCATACATTAGCATGATCTTTAGCAGAAGCATCATTTTATTTTGAAAAAAATATGCGACGGGAGAAGCATTAATGATCCGCAATCAGTCGACGTCTTCCATCCCGGACTATTTTCGTTTATCGTATTCTTAAGTGAAAGCAAAACTAAATGTACCTAGCGCTTTATGGCCCCTTAATAGAGGTGAAAACTACGGAACAACTCTTGTTGGACGACGAAAAGGTGGCCGCCGCCGGTTAATAGAGGTTTAATGGATGTTCAGCTTTAATTTCAATTCAATTGAAAATTCATTTTGGATAGCGGTATTTTCTGAAGGCAACTGGAAGCGTGAGCTGTGTTCTTCAGATTCCAAATTCATTAACTCGACTATCGTTCACCGGCCTTTGTTATCCCGTTTTTTGTTCTGTTCGCACTATTTGGGCAAAACAAGCTTTTTTTATATAACTTTCTGGGAGTTGTTTTGAAGCTCTTTAAAACACTCTCGAAATGTTAACTTGTAAAACTCGGTAAAGCCAGGCCAACATCTTTGCTAAACGTTACTTAATAAAGGAATAAAAAAGATTCTAAAGTTAATACAGCAAATGAAGTTCAGGCCATTCTAACGTGCTCAGAGAACACTAAGAAAAGATTCTTGTCTACCTAAGGAAAAGATCAATAAAAGAGTATTCCGAAGGGCTATGGACCTTGAAGTTTGGGTGCACTATTTGTTAAGGTAGTAACATTTTTGACACTCACTTTCGTAACTTTACGTTCGTAACAAACAACAAATAAGCGTTGCTCGTCCCCAAGTTGTTGCTCAGGCTCGTACTCATTTCAACGATAGGGAGAGCGTGAGGGGTGATGGGAACGAGGAAAGAGGGGAGACTCTACCTTTCCTTCCCAATACCCCTCGCACTCCTTTCGGTCACGCTTCTTGTGTTTCGTCCTCCGCGTGCGATCCAAATAAAGACAACTGGGGACGAGTAATATGGAGTAGTTAACAGGGCTAGCCTGCGTCCATGCTCTGCCGAAGCGCTTTTCCTCACCCACTACTGTTACCCCGGGAGCCCCAGGACAGCTTGTTCGCAGGGTAATAGGGCTGGTGAAGATAGAAAAAAGTTTGTATGTCTCTGAGCCGCTCTTTCTCTGGTTTATCAAAACGACAAACTCTCATACCTGCGACGGTGTGGGCGATCTGGTACCCTGAAAATCTGAGGCTTCCCCCCTGCAATTAAGTAACAAAAAAAAAAAAAACTTCATGGCTATGCCTCTAAACAAACATGTACAGTTACAGGAAAGGCTTGATCATATTGACGTACCCGGCCTGTAATAGACTCTTTGCAATAATGCAAATGTTAAAGAATGTGGCGCTGCTCATTGCAGCACCTGTAAAATTGTTCAAATGGCCACCATCTTGGATTTTACTGAAGAATCCAACCTCAGCCAAGTAGTGTTAAGTTAAACAATTTTCTTTCACACTCAATAAGATGGAAATACAAGCGTTTTTCTCTCGTCAAAATTGCAAAAATTCCAAAATTAATTTCTAGCCTGCGAGCAGGCTCTCTTGTTCGAATGACTTTTCAAAAAAAACAATTTTCCTCGCGCGATGGTAGCTCCACCGCTAAAATTTTCCCAGAAATCGCGCGTGAGAGCCTGCTCACAGGCTACAAAAATTGTATTCAACACTTGCAAAGATGACATTGAACTTTTTCATATAAAGAATTCTAACCTTTTAAAAAAGGTTAGAATTCTTTATATGACAGATATTTTAAAAGGGTCCCATTATCCTCAATCACTTTGCAATGATAGCTTTGTAGGTTTTTTGACGCCTAGGGTTTTTACTTATGCGAACGCTCCTAGTAAAATGGCTAAGCAACCGATGTCTTTACCTACCACTAGTTTTGCGGGGGAGATATAAACACCTTGGTAAAAGGTTCTCTGACCTCTATATAGCTGGAGCACGTGATCTCTGAAACACATGGAACACAGTCAAACCTCTTAAAAGAAGATGGTCACTTTTAATCCAAAATAAGTTGGAGGGAATGACGTCATGATTCAACATGGTTACTTATAAAGTGAATTTTAACATGTTTGTAAGAAATAACTCGCTAGTTTGAATGGCATTTGAAGGCTTTAAAACGGTAACTAAATTAAAACATTTTTTCTATCGGTGAGTTGAGAAATACTTGTCTCCTGGAGGGACCTTAATCCATCATTCAATAAGGACACCAATATCAGACATTACCAAGTGTCGCCCTATGTAAGGGAATCCAAGACAGTCTTGGATTCTAGATTCCATGCCATGGGATCCGGATTCCAGGAACTCGGTGGATTCCAGTCTTTGTAAAAGGATCCTGGATTCCGAATTCCAGTCGTTAATGCGATTCCGCACTCCTTGAGCTGTATTCCGGATTCCAAAGCCCAGGATTCCAGATTCCACAGAAACATTTTCCCGGAGTGCAGATTCCAGAAACAAATATTTCTTGGATTCCGGAATCTGGATTCCCTTAAGGTGATGTTACACGGGACGATTCGCAACCACAATTTTTAGCACAAAACAGCGTTGCAATTTTGCAACAATGTTGTAACCATACGAAACAATGTCGCAATAATGTTACAACGCTGTGTAGCGCTAAAAATCGTCGTTGCGAATCGTCCCGTGTAATATCACCTTTACATTGGGTGACAAGTGTCTTAATTACACAGGTATCAACTCTATAGAGGTAGGAATTGTATACAGAAACCAAGAAATCTCGTCGTAAATAAGAAGTGTCCATAGGAAGAAATTTAACCATTAGTATGGGAAGATGTCCAAAAGAAGGTTATGATAAGACAAAATGCTTACCGATGGCTCTTTATAAAATGTAGGAGCATCATGGCGGATATTAAGGCAGAGATAATGCACGCTGCCTGAAAGCTACCTGAAAAGGAGAAATATTTCAAAGGTTGAACTAAGGCCATAAGGTGGCTCGATGGAGGTTTTCAGGGTCAATAACTCCCAAGTTTGAGCATAAACTAGGTCGCAGGAACAAAAATTTGGAAACATTACCACCACAGCTGTATTGGATAAAGATGAAAATTTCTTTTGATCAGGGTTGCCTCCAAAATTCATATTTTCGTGGACAACAATAGCTAACATTTCTGCATGTTTCAAATACATTGTTAGTTACTGTTTTTCACATGAAAATGAAACTTGTAGACAACGCCCCTGTATAATGAGAGGCTCTCAATTATAACCACGAAATTTGCGATAAAAAATTAGCTAATCGGAGTCCTTCCTTTACTGCCTTACAAGATATCAATAATCTTGAAATTCAAGGATCATATAAAACGACGGTTAATTTCGAGAGTCTAAAAATCCATCGAGCGGTTTCAAAATTATTCGCGTACTTGTTGAGCTATTTTTTCAAAATAACATCACATACGCTCAGTGGTCTAAGCGTATGTATCTTTGTGGCTTTTTCTGTTCGGATGTGTGTTGCAGGGGCCAATAAGGTTGAAGGAAACAACGTTCAATCAGCAAAGGATAAACTTCGAGCAGCTATGGACGGTGGTAAAACCAATTGTGACCTGAACGATGAAAGCGAAGATGTTGTTAGCGACCGCCATGTTGTTGTGGACGACGACAAATCACAAGTGGACACTCCTGAACTCTCAGAGACATCCAGCAACGAAACGGACCACTTTATTAAACCTATCTCCCCTCACTCTCTTGACGTAAATATTCTGAGTCTAATTAACGACCTAAGGACTGAGGTAACCAAACTTTGGAGCTGTGTGCAATCGATGCAATATGCAAATAACTCGAAGACTTTGCAAGAACTTGATGCTGTCAGGAACGAGAACCACACCTTACAACAAGAATTACAAGCCGCTAGAGTTCACTACACCGAGCTACAGAAAGAATTAAAAGCTATTCGAGAAGAAAGAGATTCATTGAAACTAGCGCTTCAAATAGTCTCCAAAGATTTGTATCACAATTCATTTGCCATGCAACCTGATAACTCCCGCGTTGACACGGAGTACCAGGATACTCAAGATTTTGTTTTGGTGGGAAAAAAGAAGAAGACCGGTGACCAACAAAACCAGCCTTCGACAGAGACAAACCAAGACGGGAGACATTCACAATCGAAGACGTCGTCATCATGCCAATTAAATACAGAGCGAACAAAAGGGAACTCAGGTGGTGGCCGAAGTACTCAACGCAAGCAAAGAGAGGTGTTCGTTGTTGGTGATTCCATCCTAAAGAACTTGCAATGTTAATGCAACTTATGTTAATGGCGTATTGTCCAGTGCAAGCGAACTAAGATGCGGAGTCCCACAGGGTAGTATTCTCGGTCCTTTGTTCTTCTTAATCTATATAAACGATCTTCCAAACTGCCTTAATTCAGCATGCGCTAAAATGTTCGCAGATGATACAACTATTACCATTTCTGGTTCCTCTCTAGCTGACCTTGAACAAGAGACTAACTTAGAACTACTGAACCTTCACTGTTGGCTAAAAGCCAATAAGCTTAGTCTTAATGTTGCGAAAACCGAGTTTATGGTTATTGGCTCTCGCCAGAAGCTTCTCGCGGAAAGCCATAACGAAATAAACATCAAACTAGAAGACCAAGTTATCAGCAATGTTGATCACGCAAAATCATTAGGTCTCATTATTGACAATCGGCTTTCCTGGTCTAATCATGTTAACGAATTGTGTAAGAAGGTAACTTCGGCTATAGGTGCCCTTAGACGTATTAGGCCCCTTATCTCCCAATCTACTGCGGTACTAGTCTATAACTCCTTAATTCAACCTCACTTTGATTACTGTAGCCTTGTTTGGGATGGCTTAAGTGATTAACTGAGTGACAAATTACAAAAGTTACAGAACCGTGCAGCTAGAGTAATTTTAAAGGCCAACTATGGGACTAGCTCGAGCCTGCTTCTTGATATACTCAAATGGGACAAATTAGTTATAAGGAGAAAGAAGCATAAAGCAATAATGATGTTTAAATCTCTAAATGCACAAGCTCCAGTGTACTTGCAGAACCTATTTCACGAACGAAGCACAGACTATGATTTGCGCAATTCCTTTCATAAATTGACGTTGCCCAGGCCGCGTACTAACTACTTGAAACGAAGTTTCAGTTACAGCGGTGCTTTGTTGTGGAACTCTTTACCCGAAAATGTGAGAGAAACTAAATCAGTCAGGAAATTTAAAGAGCAAATCAAACATGTATTTGAGTCGTCGGACTCTCACTCGGCAGTCTTGTAAAACAGTATGTCGATAGTTTTTAGTCTAATTAATTGTGATTAGATTTTTACTCTATTATTACTGAAGATTTTACCGAGTTTTAAATAAATAATCTACCTACCTACCTACCTACCTAAGTTACTATGAGTTGATGGTATGAACCAATAAGATTTGGGCATCTAAACATGACATTGCTTAAGGTCAAACAAGGGCACTTTGAGACCGCCATCTTGATTCTTCACAATTTTTGCGTCTTTTATTACCGCTAAAGGTGTTTAGAAGCATAACATTTAAATATTTATTATATACATACTGAGAAATACTCACCAAAAAGCTATGTCGTAAATTTTTGTACGCAAATTAGTTCTAGCCAATCAGAGGAGCGAACGATGGTTTCCACACGTGAGAAAAATGATACGTCCAATCAGAATCGCGAACGATGCTTTTCACGTGTGAGAAAAATGATACGTCCAATCAGAAGCCACAGAGGTGTGTGAGTTTCGCGCCAAAATTCCCGCCTTTTATTGAAGCTTGCAGCGCCGCTTCGCTCACATTCAACGAGAAAAGTTTTACTTAAAGGGTTTTTCTCGGTAAAAAAGTGAAAAACATTTCCGAAATGGAGTGGAATAGTCTCGTTTGTCTCACTGTCGATAAAGAAAACGGTAGAGAGCCAGCGAAACAACAGCGGAAAGGGAAAAACAGAACGAGACGTAAGCTTTTGTTGTGCTTTTTGTCGGAGCTACTTTGCCTTACATTTAAGCTTAAGCTTATATTGAAACCGGCCATTTTACTTAAATTCACTCATTTTCAATTGTGCATTGAGAACAAACAGTTAAGATTACTTATAGTTCTTGGATTACCTCATATCCTTACCGTCATTTACGTTTTTAACAAACGTTTTTACTAAAAAGCTGATATTTCGTTTTCGTTGTCATTTTGCGGTAAGTGTGTAGCGGCAAATTTTAGCATTTTTAAAAGATTTCAAACACCAAGGCCAATGCCAACGCCAATGCCGTCAAAATCAAAATATTTATCTCATGGGAGACTTCAACATAGATCTGTTAAAATATGAAACTTGTAGTTACACACAAACCTTGCTCCAAACAATGCAAAGTTTTTCAATGTTCCCAGTGGTTGATAAGCCGACTAGAGTCTATGGTAATTCAGCAACTTTAATTGACAATATTTTCATAAATAATCCTGAGAATAATATAGTCAGCGGCAATATCGTGTCCGATACAACAGATCACTTCTCTCAGATGTGCATATTAACGTCGCACCGTAAACCATTCTTTCCAAACAACAAAACTAAGGTTCGTGACTATTCTACTTTCAATGCAAAGTCTTTCATTGAAGACTTGCAGAATATTAATTGGAATAATATTTGCAAACATACCGATGCCAATCAATCGTTCTCCAGGTATTACAAATGCGTCAACAAGACAATTAACAAACACGCCCCTTTAAGAAGTATATCCAAACGTAAACAAAAATTCCTTGCTAAACCATGGCTGACTGCGGGTTTAAGAAAATCAATCAGGGTAAAGAATAACCTCTTCCATACCTCAGACCGTGACAAATACAAATTTTACAGAAATAAAATCATTTATCTTACGAGATTAAGTAAAGTTTCTTTGATCTCAACATATGTAATATGCGTCAAACTTGGAAAGGAATTAACGAGCTAATTCGAAACTGTAAAAAGAAAAACAAGCGCAACTCAACTAACTCTATTCGCTCAAACGCGAATGAGGTTCCAACTAGTGACCCGAAGGAAATAAGCAATATTCTTAACAAATATTTCGCCACCGTTGGGAGCAAACTGGCTTCTAAAATTCCTCAGACCATAAATACATTCTATGATTATTTAGATCCGCCACTTAATCGCACTTTCTTCTTTGATCCTATTATTCCGGAAGATATCAATTTAGAAATTTCAGTTTTACAAGACAACAAGGCCCATGGTCTCTACTCATCTCCAGTTAGGCTGCTGAAATTGGCAAAAAGGGTCATATCCATACCTCTAGCCACGATTTTTAATCAGTCTATTTGCTCAGGGATTTTTCCATCTAAACTAAAGTGTGCTAACATTATCCCGATATTTAAGGACGAAGATGACACGCTGCCCGAAAACTACCGACCTATTTCTCTGCTCTCGATTTATAACAGGATTTTTGAAAAACTTATGTACTCCAGAGTTACCAAGTTTGTCAAAGATTGCAACATTCTCTATGATCAGCAATACGGTTTTCGCAGTAAGCACGGTACTCAGCATGCTGTACTTGATATTGTTAACACAATTCTCCATAACATGGACAACGGTAAATTTTCGTGCGGTGTTTTCATCGATCTCAAAAAGGCTTTTGATACTGTTAACCATAAAATTTTGTTAGCTAAACTTGAAAATTATGGTATTAGAGGTGTAATCAACTCCTGGTTCAGATCATACCTGACTGATCGGAAGCAAACTCCGGAAGTTAATAATGTTGTGTCTGAGGCTGAAACGACCTTGTGCGGCGTGCCACAAGGCTCAGTCCTCGGACCACTCTTATTCCTACTGTACATCGATGATATTTACAAGTCCTCTTCGTTATTTGCCTTTTATCTATTTGCTGACGATACTAGTATAATACTTGCAAATAACAACCTAAAGGAACTCGAAACACTTGTTAATCGCGAGCTTGGCAACGTCAACGAATGGCTAAAGGCCAACAAACTGTCCTTGAACATAAAAAAATCAAATTTTGTAATCTTTCGTCCCCGGCAAAAGAATATGCCCTTCATACCTAGGATTAGAATTTTTGACTCCGTGACTAACACCTACGCAAACCTTGAAATGAAAGATTATGTAAAATATCTTGGCTTAATGATTGATTCAAATCTTTCATGGAAATACCACCATATTGTATGATATCAACAGACAGACAGCACCAGTTAGTATTCTCAATCAGTTCGTTAAAACAAGTCAGATTCATAACTACAGAACAAGATCTGTCTCTAGCGACTCGTTTTATGTTAAGTTCTCTAGAACCGATAAAATGTATGCCTTTTTCACGAGAATCAGTGCCCAACTTTGGAACTCTATTCCGTATTCGATTAAAATACTTAAACGTTCGTCCTTTCGTAAAAAAATAAAGGAATTATTACTAAATTTTTTGCGGTCAGAAGATGAGTATGTCGAAGTCTCCCGTCTCATTAAGTTATTTAATACTTTAGGTTAGCCTCTCTTCGTAATCGTTATGTACATGCCTTGTTTTATGTTAGTTTAAATTCTATTTACTGTATTGTAGTGTCTTCACTGTTATTTAGTCCATCTATATATAAATCTTGTTTTGTAATATGTCTTCAGCTCCCCCCGCCTCGATTAGTTCATAAGCTATTTGCGGGTGGGAAAGTAATGTAATTAGTTATTTTCCAATTTTCAATAAAATTTGTTGTTGTTGTTGTTGTTGTTGTATAGGCCGCCAAAATGATGAATGTCTCAGTATGTATATAATAAACACAATACCACATGGAAAGTGCTTTGTACGGTATTTACGCACTCGTTGTTTTTGTATCAGAAATCTTACTCGTTCGCTGCGCTCACTCGTTCGATTTCTGATACGTCAACAACTCGTGCGTAAATACCGTACGCCAGCACTTTCCATGAAGTATTCTCTATATTCATGATTCAAACACTGAGTACGGTGATGCAGCTGTTTAAGGGTTCATATATTAGTGTAGGTGCTGCTTCAAGACATTTCTGACCTAATTCGGCTATCGCGAACGGTACAACACACGTATTTCATAGTTTATGAGTTCTGTTTCATCTGCTTCTAGGTACAGTATAAAAGATCATATATTTTTCAAAGTTCTTCAAATGAAACGTTAATAATTCATATTTAGATATTGACTTTAATTCGGAAGTATGCGGCCTATAAATTATGGTTTTAGAAGTTTGAAAGGCAGCTTATTTTTTGGTGAAAGCTATAGCCTGCGTGGGAGGTACGTTAGCAAGAGCGTTTTGTTTTGTTGAGTGGACATGAGATGAGTAGAAATATATTTCGGCAGTTTGATAATTTTCTTGGAAGTAAATAAACGTTACAGTCAGGTCTCTTAGTGCAAAATATAGGCCGGATCGTTACAGACGTGACAAAGTGTCAAATTTGGCACAGAGCTTCCTTAGCACCTGCCGATTAATACTGGAGGGGGTGCCCGTTACAAATGGTCCTAATTACAGATAAAAGGGGGGGGGTTAACTTTCACCTATGTGTGGTGAGTACTCTTCTTGTTTGATTTGGCCAAAAAACATTTGTTTCAATTGTTTAAGTTTTCAATTTGGTAATAGGGAACTTAAGAACCACGACGACGGCTTTGTCGACGACGACCGGAAGTGAGATACCATGCACTGCGCAAGCGCGGTTAACAAATTTCGTCGTCGTGGTGTGGTCGACGACGCCAAACACAGTAGAATCACGTCGTCCTGTAATCCACAAGCTTCGGCAGGTATAACTCCCTGTTTTTAAGCGATTTTTCAAGGGCTTTGTATTTTTTCACCTCGTAAATCCAGGTATCCTTTCTTTTTTCTCCTAACAAGCGATGTTGATTGAAAATTTGACTGATGAATTGTGTTTACTTCGAAGACAACACTGAGCTGTGCAGGCCGAGCGAGCGAACTCGTAAGTGACAAATTTATTTGTACGTATTTAGGTCAGGCTTATCATATATGTTTAATATAGAGGAAATGAACTTCATATGGAAAAAAGCTATCGCATCGGAATGTCTCTTTTTCCAAATCTAAACTCTGACAGACACTCGGACTCGGTCATGTCATTCAGGTTGAAAGTTGAATAACCTTCGTACGGAAAGCAGAGATTTTTCCATTCGAAAAGGTCAGACAACATTAAAAATTCTTCATCGTCTTTGAAACTAGACGTACGGCTTATAAAGTAAGATCTTGCATCATCTTAAAAGACGCCTTTGCGAAAAAACTTTGTTGCGAACGAACATCACAGTCTACATGTTTAATTACATTCAGTGTCGTCGTCGTCGACCTACCGACCGACCGACTGCATCTTAAGTTTCCTTTTTCCCACCGAAACTGACGCTTTCGTTCCAGTCCTTTCCCAGTCAACAGACGTCGTTGTCGTGAACTTCGTCGTGGTTCTTAAGTTCCCTAATGTTTAGTTGTTGTTACACTATTCAAAATAGTTTTACATGTACATAATACTGACTAGTGCCTAGTCTCCACTCAGTAAGTGTGGCCATGTTCACTATACAGCTATCAGTGTCACTGCTAAGACTTGCCAGTGATAATATCATTACATATCAATTTAAACAGATCACAAAGCCAGCTTTCAAAGATGTCATACAATAACAAAAAACCCAAATGTATCACATCCTAAACGATGGAATCGTTAAATTTTGACATGCCACATGACCGACCTCATGAACCCCAACTGACAACGCGCCCACGTTGTAATTGTGCAGCTAAGATTAGATTATAATTTGCTTCGTTGGTAACCCTGTCCTTGAGATAATGATTAAAACATGTCAACCTCGTCCTTAGGGGGAAAAGGAGGAGCAAAGGTGGCACAGTTGGTTAGTGCGCAGCCTTCAGTGCGCGAGGTCCCGAGTTCGATCCCCGGTGTCAACACATCCTTATTTCAGCTTCTCTCCTTTTTGTGTAGCTTTGCAATTGACTAGCTTTAAATACCCTTAAAACGGAGCATTAATGGTCGCTTTACCTTTTTTCTGCCTTTTTATAAAGCCCTGGGGGCGAGGTTGTAAAACATACCTTTCCAGCAATTTTTAACACTCTTTATTTTTTACACATTTGCATTTAAAAAGAAGTGTATGAGGTCCCTGCATGCCTAGACACCGGTAAGGAGCTCATTCACTTCAGAGCCCTCGCACCAGAGTGTTAATGGTAGGTCTATACGATCTTTCAAAAAACGGAAGGTCGTCGCTTGCGTTACAGTTTACAAACAAACTAACTTCAGAAGAGCTGAAAGTTACAGGAACAAGGCCTCTTTTAGCCAACCAGTGATGTATCATTTATGAAAGTGAATGTAATTTGTTTGATGGAATTAGGCGAATACCCCGTGGTTACGAAATCTTACGATCCGATCATGAATTCCTCAAGAGCAATTCAGTTACCTACTTTTCACAAAATAATGCTGTGGAAAATTACAGAAAATACCGAAAAAAGCAAGGGTCAACAATAACTATGGCCTGGTCTCTTATAATAATGGAGTGGTCAAGATAAAAAAGCCCATCAGCCCCAACTTTGACCACTCAAACAGATTTCTGACAGATTACATACCGCACTTTGCATTCACTTATGCCTATGTTGCCACACTAGGAGCCTAGAAATCCGCTCCTGGTCACACCTTATTTTTATTGCTGAATATCATTCTAAAGAGCTTTACGAAATGTTTTGTTAGTAGGGGTGTTTTGAACATGATTGAAATTTAGAGATGGTGACAAAAACGAACACAAAAAAGTTACAAAACGAGACGCATGAAACAACCGCAATCTAATATTCGTGTTACACCGATTTAATGGCTCCTTTTGCTCCTATGCTGACGGTTTTGAAGATGGAAGTAGTATCACAACTAGTCCCGGGTTAGGTATACTGTTTATTACCAGTTTCACGGTTCTTGAGACTTAGGGCCTGTTAACATAAAGGTTGGGGACCCCGGGTAGGTGAGGTAACCTGCTTAGGTGGGGTAAAAAAAATAACCCTCCTTTACATGCAATCTTACAACCTCGCCATCCTGGGGTGCACTTTCTCAAGATTATTGAATGGTCGCTAAGCTCGTAAACAAGAAAAATGCTAGCAAACCACGTCTACGCTCACTTGCTGCTGTGGCTGCAAGCTTCAGTGTTGTGGCTTTCTATCGTTGCCTTTAATAACTATGTAGAGCCACCCGGTGCCAAAGTGAATTTTGCGTGAATTTGATGTATCACGAATCCGACCCCGACTAGCCTGGGTTACCTCACCTTGCAACGTTGACATGGCAAAATTTGACCTCAGCTGAGAGGGTTAACCGGTCTGGCAGACCGGGCTACCCAGCTTGAAGGGTCACCCCACCTATCATGTAAACGTGATCAAATTAAAATGAGAGATTATATGGACATGCGGGTTAATACCCCACCTAAGTTAGTTACCATGACTACCTGGGGTCTCCCTCCTCCATGTAAACCTAACTTAACTTACTTTATGAATACATATCACACACTGGAAGAAAAAATACACAAGAACAGCCAAAGCCGGGGGCTTAAATGGCCTAAGGTCAGCAAAAAAAAAAAAGACGTGAACAATTTACAGGAATAGAAGAACGCTTTAACTAAAATAATTACAATACAATTAAATCAAGAATGAAAAGGTCAGTCAGAAAAAAACTTACAACTGAAATACAAGGCACTAAAAGTTAGTCCGGCCCCCTCTCTACAGTTTTAGGAGTTAAACCATTCACCATTTATCATTTGAGTCAATCTTGTACCACTTGAGTTTCACTTTTAAGACTTGATAAGCTGTTAATATTTTTGGACACTGAGTGCCTCAGTGCCAAATGTAGAGGCTTCATGATGAACCGTGCTGTTTTGTGAAGCTTGGGCTAACTTGTTTCTTTTTTTCGTTTTTGAGACCAGATTTTTTTGTTGTTAGTTTTTGCTTTGCAAAGCTTAGACAAACTGCGGGAATTGTAAATGATATGTACTTGTGCCACGATGCTGTCTTCTCTGTCAAAACATGCACGTGCGTCCAGCAGATAAAGAGAGATTGAAAGGCATCCACGCCTATGTTTAGCTGAAAAATTAATTACCTCCTTACGAAAGAACTATTCTGGGTTCTGTCATTTCGTTATTTGCTCTTCATGAACAGCTGTCGTAAATCCCTGATAATATGTGATACAACAGACTCTTTGACAATTTCTTTTTTCCTGAAATTTTATGTGTGAATCGCTATGCCATACGCTTTCTTTAGCTTAAAGTGACATGTAATGCCAAGTGATACTTGATAAATAAGGCTTAAGCCACACAATAAGGCCTCCTCTAATTGAAATACATTAGAAAAGGAGAAGAGAACCCCAGAAGCTGAGTACTTGCGAGTTATGAACCAAAGACGAGGCCATCTTAGAAATGACTTATGAAAATGTGGGCGGACTGTGGACTTGCTGTAAGGGCACATTAATAATCAACTTAATTGTACAATCAATAAGCTAATAATGGATGGGAATGCCAGATGTTCAAGTGAAATTGTTGTTTACAACATGAGAAGAGTATTGTGAGTGATCTAAGGTATTAAATAACAATTTTCAATCAAAACACCATAGGGACCCCAGCAGGTGAAATTTACAATAATTAAATCCTGTTTAGCACGCTTCAGTGGCATATTTGCATTGGGCACCCCCTCTAATATTCATGGTACTGCAATAACCTATCGCTGTGCAAAGTTTGGTGCTTTTGTCAACTCTGTAACGATCCTGACCTTAAAGGGGCTATGTCACCCCACACGTATGCGCGAGCCAACGAAACAAACTTGAAAAAGTCGGCCCGTCTTTTTCAAGTTCTGTCGGAGATTTTGGAAGGCTGTTTTTATCTGTCTAAATCTCAGCCATCGTTCGATAGTTAGCGAAGTTTTGTATTAAGAATCGTTCTATGGTGATTACAGAATAATTTTTTGGCGTTATTCTGAAATTATTTGCCTTTGGAATGTTTTTACGTGGATTTACTGTGTCCTCTTATCAGCGGCCGTTGTAATGGCAGAGTTAATGACGGCTACTCCACAATGAGTGATGGAATCTTTGATCGAATCTTTCCTATAGTTCACAGAACCTTTCTATTGAGTTATTTTAGAGGTTGCTGGCTCTTGGATTTTTCTTGTGCTCAAATTATGCGGACATATAATGAAGCGGCTATCGAGTTGGCGGCGGCCGTTTTTGGTAAACGATTACATGAGCATCAGGCCATGAGTTTCGTGACTAAACTAAACTCCTGGCGAAGGAAACATTATAAAATTCGACTAGATTCCTTCTTGTACTTATCTGGATTCACGGCAAAGATAAACATGACCGTTTGCTCGTCCGGATTGTTCTCAACGGACTTAGAGAGGCACCTTAGTACGAGTTAGATCCTGTAAATGCCATGTTTTTGAACTGTTTGTGTTCGAACATATTTTTGGAAAATACCAGAGTTTACTTTCCCTTTTTATCAACGGACTGCTTATAGTGGAGTAGTATACCAATGACGCTTGGTTCTGTTTTTCTCGACGTCGCAGTGATTCGGCACGATCGAACAATTTTGCGCGATAATGTGTTTCCCTAAGATCAAAACAAAGACTTGATGTCTCTTGTTCTATCAGCATCTACATTATAAAATCACTAGCCACAGACAAGTCAAATTGTTAATGATTTGAAACAGTCTTGGTCTTTATCTTCGGTCTGGCGTTTTTTGTAGCTCGTTTGTAAAATACAACTTCCATTTATTTTGTTGAATAAGACAATATGTTGTTGTTGAATTTTTGTTTGCGCACTATTTTATGAATGGCATGCGTTTTTACTTCAAAACTACAAGTAAAATTGTCGTCACAATTTTATTCTTGATCTAGCATAACCAGAGAAGAAACGTTCCGTAAATTCTATCGAAATATCCCTTATCTAAACCCATTTCGCTTGTTAACCTCTCTAAATTCGGAGCCTTGGACGTGACAGAGAATATGGAGAAAGTCACGCGTTAAAAACAATAGAATTTTGACAGTTGAAAGTAATTTGCATAACCTCAGAGCGCATGCTCACCAGCTGACATAGCCCCTTTAAGAGACCTGACTATTAGGCTATCAACCTTAACGTTGCATGAAGCATAATTTGAAAGCCAAGGTGATTTCTTAAAATCGTTGAAGCAAATTTTCTAGTAAACAGTTTGCGTCCTTGTACGTTCGAATTGTAAAATGGACAAAGTCCAACATCTTCACGTGCAAATTGTGTGCATGAGGTATTTTTATCATTCTGCTAACTAGATTACTGACTAAAGTCCAACACTTTCACGTGACTGTACATCTCATGCAGACTGGCTTTTTACAGTAACAAGACGCTACGGAGCGTACACTTCGGCGTTGTGGTTCTGGAACTGATTAATTGTAAATGCGGAGGAATAGTAAGAAATGAAATTTGGTAAGAGTATGGTGTTAATTTGTGAAATTATGGGATTTGCCAGGATATTCTGAAAAGAGCAACATCCAAGAGGCCTACCTGCCGAAAACTAGCATTTCGGGAAAAATTGTCCCTGAGATACTAGCTCAGTTATGCTCTTACGACTCCATACAAATCAATCTAAATTGGACTTGGGTCTAGACGTTTAGACCTAAGTCAAATATGAGGTTACTGGCGGTGAATAACAAGTCTAACAAAACAAACAATGAAAAAAGAATTCTCTATTTTTCTTAGGCACATCAGGCTTCAAAAACAGCATAGCAGTCTCCTGTACTGATTAAAGATATGTAAGGCATGGGTAAGGAGTCAATTACGTTGAGCATGGAATTGGCTAAAACTCAATGTTACGAGTTCAAATGTTTTGAGGATAATTATTCACTGACTATGAGCATGCAGGGAGTCGGATTAACTCAAGGAAGTTAAATACCAAAGGAACATAGCCTTTACAAAGCTTTAAAACACAGCATCCGCCAACACAAACTTGACCTGAACTTAAGTAAAACTAAACAGCCTCACCATAATAACAAACTCTCACTTGAACTTCAGATATCTTACGGCTCCCGCCAACTTGTAAACACAGACCTTGAAAATCTACCTTCGTCACACCTGACTAAACACAGCAGTCCAGCTCGTGGGGAGAAACTTAGATTATCAAAAGAACTCGCTCGGAACTTGTATACCGTTTAAGATGAGGTTCTAGAAAATACTAAACAGGCGAATAGTATTAGCCTTTCGACATATTTTATGATTTCAGTAACTGATGCAAATCTGCTGACTCATGCTGAAATGTAAACATGCCCTAATTAAGAAACGGTCCAGATAAGAACGATAGCAACAACGGCAACGAACATGTTGGAATGCAAAAAAGGTACTAACTTTCTATTGTCTGTACTTACTTCTGATTGGCTTAAACAGCAAAAGTTAACAAAACTTCATAAAGCAGTACATATGTTCGTCATTACTTTCCAACCATCTTCTATATAAACAAAATCTGGTCTCAGTTTGAATAACAAAGAAATCCTATGTGGGGAACATGTAAAATTGTAAACTTTTCTTAGTTATTGTTTTCAACTCTTGTGATTGGTCAAAATCTTTTAACACAAAAAACACCCTTTCAAAGTCGAGTGTAAATGCATTTTATTGCGTAAACGGCCTTCATGTAGGTTTATGCATTCTCTGTGTAAGAATGAGAACATTCCTAAGTGGGAAAAGCACCGTTGCCACATAACAAAAGGAATTGTTATCCATCTTAACGGGATCATTACTTAATTAATCAAGAACAATCCAAAGACGTAGAGAACGTTCGAGAAAGTCACGCAACGCTTCAAAGCAATTTTACTACGTCACACTCAACAAAGACAAAATGTCTTTGTGCAGCATTTTGTGACTTTAAATTCATCAGAAAACAGTTCGAAAGGAGGGCTCACTCGTGAAATGCTTTTCAACACTCGAAGAGAAATTTCGTGTCTCTGCGCGGCCACGTAATATCCCCTTATTTATTCCTCGAGTAAATTTAAGACTAAACTCGAAGTGTTCTCAAGATATCACGAAGTAGTCCGGTCTCATTTCGTCAAATAGCCGAAACAAGCCGAAAAGTCACGAACTTGCACGCCCAATCTTGTCCCGAAACTAGTGCATCATTTCATAACTACTTCTACCCTGGGTCGTAGTAGCGCAATCGGCTAATCCCTCAACTTAGAGTCTCCTCTGATCTGACGGGTCACACAGGTGAGTCGTTTCAAACCCCGGGAAAGCCAAAATAATAATTATTTCTTCCTCGAAAAAGTTAAAGAATAAATCAAAGAAATCGAAGTGATCTCGAGATATCTCGAACTAATTCGGCTCTCACTTCGTCAAATAGCCGAATAGAACCGAAAACCTACACACTTTGCGTGCCCAATCTTGTTAAAAAAAGTCAACTTTGATACATTCCTGAACGTCGCGAATCCTTTACTTGCGCTCCGCCGAAGTAATAATAGTGACTTGAACGTATGGAGAGGCTTTAGTTTTGTAACTCGAGTGCCTTAAGTAAAGGCTTTTTTCTTTTAAGAAGCAATAACTTTTAGAACTTGTAGAATTAAGTGTCAGCTTTGCCGACGTGTTTCGTCATGCGTGACATTCTTTGAAATGGTCCAAGATTTGAAATAATCTTGAAGTCCTCGATGGAAAACACCTTAAACTCACGAAAAAAGGGAAAATATTATCTTCGTTGACAGAAAATAACTTTTTATTTTCCATATGTTTATAATTAAGCTCAGAAATTGAATAATACCGTTCAATTTTTTTTTGTTCAAATTGACACGATTACTGGTCACGCATAACGGAGGAAAGTTGACCCGAGTAGGCGAGTTATCTCTAGCAGAGCGTTTACAAGGCAGGTAAGGTAACCATCATTGCTAGGGTAACTCTAGTGCTAAGTAGGGTTACACTAGCGCTAGGGTAACCCTACCTGCCTTGTAAAAACGTCGTGAGAAAAAAGAAGAAATATGCGAGTGCTAGGGTAGTAGGAGTAGGGTAGTATGAGGATTGACTCAGCTGTGCGCAGCGTTTCGCGTTTTCCCTCAGTAATGTACAGCAATACCCAATTTCGTAAAAAACCGCCTCGATACTTACTAATCAAATCCTTGTTTCTAGCAATCGGCTAGAGCTTTCTCTACGATCTTTCACACGCGTTTTTTAAAAGAGGAAAACTACTATGAGGTGAAAATGCAGTTTAAAAGCGCTTCGTTCTGTTAGAATAACAGCCGAACATCCAGTTTTTACCGTTATTCTAACCATAAAAACTTCATACCAAAATATCTGGATAACGCTCCAATAGATTTCACTTAAACTTCAGAAACGTCGAGGAGGCAGTTGGAGGAAAAAGCTTCCGTGAACGATTTTGGAAGAAGAGTTCCCAGTGCCGAGACATACGAGAATACGAGAAGTAAAATAAGTAATGGCGTCATTTCGTTGCTATGAGAACCCCAATGTCATTGCAACCCAAAAACAAAACAAATTTTCATCTTTATCTAATAGAGCTGTGGTGGTAATTTTTCCAAACCTTTGTTCATGGTGACGTAGTTTAGGCTCAAACTCGGGAGGTATTGACCCAAAAAACCCCATCGAGCCACCATAACGGCCGTCCCCAGTGTAAGGAGGAATCAATACGTCCACGCAATTGAATGGTTGACGTCAAATGTCCAATTACAATATTAACGCTATTTCATTTTCACTGTCATGCCATCACAAACCAAACTCAAAACCACACAAACGAGATCCTTGGATTAGTTACTCATCATCAGTTGCTCAGGTTTAAACGATTATGTATAATGAAAGTATCTAGACAACGGCTAGGCAGCTTATTTACTGAATAAATTGAAAGCAAAAACACGCGAAAAATGCTTAATAGATGCCAAGAAGGAATATATTCACGCTCAAAACTTGAGTCCATAATATCATCGCTGGGATTACCAAATTTAAATATGAAAACGTAGAGGCTTCTTTTGTAAAATGATGCCATAATGCAAATGCCTATTCTATTATTTTACACCTACCGACAACAACATCCCATAACTCCAAATAGTCATCGCTGCTACGTATACGCGTTAAGACGTTCTTGAAAATATCAAGAGCTCCAATGCATATTACCAAAACCTGCAAAGAGACAATTTCAGTTCTACTTGACAAAGTAAGTCGATGAGAACAGTGTAGTAGAACGTTAACAATGCCAGATTAATTATTCCTTGTGTGAGATAAATCTCAACTTATGAGTAACCATATATAGTAGATTGACGGAAATGTCTGCACATACACACCCGCCCTTTCCCGTCCCCCCCCATTCTCAATGAGAAACACCACAAAGACGGAAATACAGAAACCAGGATAACCTCGAATAAATGATTTGGGTCTACCTACAATAAACTTCAGTAAGTTAAGTAAATTATTCGCAAATTTGCGAAATAATTAAGCATACCTCAAAAACAACTATTCCAGCAACCAGCAGAGTAGATATAAAATGGGTTGAGAATTTGAAATCTGAAAGATCAGATGTCGTTAGACAAGGTTATAAAGGTGATGTTACACGAGACGATTCACAATACGACTAATTTTAGTGCAACACAGCGTTGCAATATTGTTGCGAATGGTTGCAACGTAACATTGTTCCAACATTGGAGCGCTGTGTTGTGCCAAAAATCGTCTTTTCGAATCGTCTCGTGTAACATCAACTTAATACTGCACACATCAAAAGGGATTGTTATATTCATAGACGTTCACTCACTCAACTAAACAGGGACAGCCATTGGCTGATTCTTGGTCACATGGCCTTGACTAAAGTCAAATGTATCCTGATCGTGATACATTAAGCAACGTATAGCCTGTGTGTAGACCCCACTTCCCCTAGGAGAAATCGGAGAAGGGGCGCATGTGATTCACCTGGTGATTCCCTGTCGCTAATCGTGTATGGGAATAATTTTGCATAAATTAAAAAAAATAGATTCCGCCGACCAAAATCCCCGTGGCTCATGTTTCATGTCATTCCAGTTCTCAAAATGTCGGTCCACGGACTTATTTCCATCGAGCAATTGAGAGACTGAGAGATTTTTAAAATCGGTTTACTTTATACTCTATACCGAGCAAGAAAAATGCTCTTACAAACCCTTATTGAAGGAAAAGATCCATCATCTTATGCAAGACTTCCCAGTGGATACGGAAAGTCATTAGTTTGATATAAAGTGTTGACAGGTCAGACGCGACTTATAAGCTCGTGATAGTGCGAAACGAGACCTTAGCGTTTGCTTGAGTAACAGAGGTTTTCCTGCTTTTCTTTCTATCGCGTAGATTAAGCATCGTAGTGCATGGAGTACCATAAACTTTGACTGAACAAATCTTATTTTTGCCTTTGATTCTTGCATTTAGAGGTCATGAAGCTGGTATGTCTCATGCATATTGAGTTATTATTTCCTGTGGTTTCTGTAGGTGTTTTTGACAAGGCCGTTTATATTAAAACCGGTTTTTCTTTGACCCCTTTTGAAGCCTAAAGCTTTTTAGTACGGCTAAAGAACCTTTTAATAAAGATTTCAGTTTCTTTTCTTTTCTCCGAAATACCTGGATCTGAATAGCTACATACTATGCTACATGCTATGTTTTGACGACGGGCCCTAAAGCCAATCAAAATCTCTCATTTACATGATGTAGTGATGTACGAGTAACAGCCAATCGGCAAATCATTTTCCACACATTCCTGGAAAAATCACGTGGCCTCCATACACGATTAACAACGGTGAATCACAGACGCCCCTTCTCCGATTTTTCCTGAGGGGAGGGGGGGTCTGCACACAGGCTAAGCAATGTACCCCGCTCGGGATACATTACAACACGTGATCAAAGCATGGTGAAAAGTGGCGTGACAGGAAAAACAGGCAGGAAACACACTTCCACTTTTCTTTTTCGTGAATAAACACAACAATATAAATATGAAGCGTCAAGCTAAAAGGCAACGATTTTCAAAGTTATCCCAGAAGAGAAAGAGTCCTGATGTTTCCCGAGACGAACTCTCCAGAAAACAAAATTAACTGTTTCCCTCGGGATCTGACATTAAGTGTGTAGTATTACAGCAATGAAGTTACGCAGTGGATGTTCGAAGTCTTAGGCCACGTCCACACGAATCTGAAAATTTTGAAAGCCTCATATTATTCACACGAATCAACCTTCAGTCTACACGAAACCAGTGAATCCGCTCACCGAAACCGCACCTTTTTTTAAACTGCTCTCCAGAGTGGTTTAATTTGGGCGCCGTCCGCAAGAAAGAAAGAAAGTGGCCAAATGAAAATAATTTATGCATTACACCGAAATCGAAATGGCGGAAGGTATGTCCACTACAACAACGATTTCTGCAAGAAATCCAGGTTGCAGGCTATGTGGTGGTTCTCATGAGAGTCGCTATGTGCCTCGAATATTCAGCAAGGCCGGCTTATCTAAAGATCTGTATTCAAAAGTTTATAAACTACACTACTATACTACTATACCTGTGGTATAAAAATTTCTGAAGACGATACGAGGTCAGCAGTGTTATGTAGGAGTTGTGTTACATTCGTAGTTAAATCGGTTTATTCGGAGACAATACGCCGTCTGATCTAAACTCCAAATATTCTGTTAGGCGATGCGGTCAAGTTTCACTGTCTTCGCATCAACCGTCGAAGCGTCTATCAAAGGATATGCGACCCGAAAGCTTCGATGTGGATGAGCCGCAATAAAAGGGGGTGGTAGGCCTATACGACTTTTATCTCATGCCAAAATGCTCCTTGTTCCAAAAAGTATTTTTCTCTGCTGGGTAGATTATGCTCTGGAAGGTTCTACTTTTTCACTGAGCAAATGTAATTTTAGCCGCTTGTTTCACTCTGAGAGGTCATGGCACACATCGATTAACTGTGGTTTTTGTTTCAGGTCGGCAGGATTTGCCCTCCGATTCAAGAGCGTTTTCTTTTACCTCTTTTGAAGCGTAAAGCTTTTTTATTACGGTTGAATAAGGGTTCTAATTTTCTCTAAAGTGCCTTTTAGATCTGAATAACTAAGCCATTTTCCGCTTTAGTCCGTGAATGTAATGGTTTTGTGCAATGTTGTATCACGCTGGGCCCAGCTTGTTAGTTTTCTTTGCAGGATGTTAAATTTATCACCGATTTTGATTCACAGGTGCAATGAAGTGCAAGTTAAACTGAAGCTTCATCAGCTACGGAGAATTGCCTTGTGACTTAGTAGACTCCAGCAGTGTTTTTCTCACTTAAGATAATATGAGACCTTTGACTGGAGCGCGTATTCCCTTCCTTGGTAATAGCTTTTGAACAAGCTTAACAGTGTTTGGACTGTTTTGTTATTGCCACGTTGTGATCAGGCAAGACCAAGGTTCAACTGAACTCAGATCCCTACAAATCATTTGAATTTAAAGAATTATTGCTTGTCTTGCTTCACTCTGACAACTGTATTACACGTATATTATTGTTTATCATCCTCCTATTTCTGTGAAGAATGGTCTTACGCGGTGCTTTTTTGATAAATTTTCCATGCTACTGGAACGCCTGGTGTGCTCTTCTGGAAATTTACTCTTTAAAAATGGAGATTTCAAATTCATGTTAATGATCCATCTGACAGCACCGCAAGTCAATTCCTGGATCTCTTAAATTGTTTTCATCTGGATATCTTCAATCTTTGTACTCCAACACAAGAACAATAATGTTCCAGATCTTATTATCACAAGATCAGGTGAAACATCTGTCTCAAATTTATCAGTTCACGCTTCTGTCATTTGTGATCACTTTGCAGTTCACTGCAGCCTGGCTATTAAGAAACCACCTAACGCGAAACTCACTGTCATGACTCGTAAACTATGCAGAATTGATTGAGACAGTTAATGTACTGATATTAACTCTTCAATATAAAACTCACTTTCGTTGGACCTGCCAGAGCTCTGTGATCAATATGATTCTGCTCTTTCTTCGATTTTGGATAAAAATGCTCCTTTACGAAAAAGAGGCATCACTATTAGGCCTCTTGCCCCTCAGTACAGTGAGGAAATCAAGCAGCAGAAAGTGACCTGTCGTAGGCTTGAAAGGCGATGGTGTCGTTGGCGACTCACTTCTGACTAGCAATCTTATACCGACCAACGCACTGTTGTAAAGGACACCATCATAGTTTTCAAATCAAAAATGGATTACTATTCTAGCCTAATCTATTCAGCTGAAAGTGACAGCAAAACCCTGTTTCGCACAATTACTCGTCTTCTTCACAGGAAAGCAGATAAACTTTTCCCTACCAGCTCTTCTGCAGTTGATCTCGCCAATGAATTCGTCCACTTTTTTGAGGGAAAAATTGTCAATATCAGAAGTAATCTTGTTACACCTGTAATTCCTAATTTCTTCAGAACCCTAGATACTTCATCACTAACCCGTCAGCTTGTAAATTTTGCACCAATTTCTAACACAGAACTGTCGAACATTGCTAACAATATCATCATGAAATCCTGTATTTTAATTTGGATCCTCTTCCCGCCACCCTACTGCAGTAGCAATTCGAGTTACTTTTACCAGTTATCCTGAAGACTGTCAACTTGTCACTGGAATCCGGTCATTTCCCGTCTTCTTTGAAAACTACTGTTCTATCTCCACTACTTAAGAAAGTCATCTTAGATCATGAAGTTCTTGCAAACTACAGACCTATTTCAAACCTCAAGGTGATCTCAAAAATTGTTGAACAGGTCGTCGCAGTAAGTCTTCAAAAATATTTAGAAGCTAACCAGCTAAATGAGCCTCTACAATCTACCTATAAACTTTTCCACAGTTGTGAAACCGCCGTTGTGCGCGTACATAATGACATTTTGGTTGCTACTGATAAACGTCACTGTCTCATGCTTCTCCTTTAATTTAGACCTGTCTGCTGCCTTCGACACTGTGGATCACGATATGCTCCATACAAGATTGCACTCTAAATACTCTATCTCTGGCATAGCTCTTGAAATATTTCACTCGTACCATACTAATCGTTCCCAATTTACGTTAATCGAAGGGTGTAGATCACAGACTCGCGAGCTCAAGTGCGGTGTACCTCAAGGTTCTGTCCTTGGACCGATAATGTATGTACTCTACACAGCACCACTGGCCGACATCCTGCGATTCCATGAAATGCAATTTCACTTTTACGCCGATGACATTCAATTCAATATTTCTTTCTCTACAAACAACGATGGGTAATTAACCAACAGTATCACTAAGATTGTCCATCAACAGACTAAAACTAAACAAAGACAAGACCGAGCTTCTCGACTTATTCTCAAAGTAAAATCCACAACAATCTGTACCCCCACTTCGCTTTGGAACTGACATAATCAAGCCCTCTTCACATACAGGAAATATTAGCGCTATCTTCGATACCACCATGTCAATGCTTTCCCATGTCAACAATATTTGCAAATCTGCCTTTTATCATCTTCGCACCATTTCCCACATAAGAAAATACTTATCGACGCAAACTACTGAGATTCTTATTCACCCTTTGTAACTTCCAAACTCGATCACTGCAATTCTCTTCTATATAATGTCCCTAAAAACGTCATCAAAAAGCTTCAATCGGTCCAGAATGCAGCTGCCAGACTGATTACAAGCTCTAGGAAGTGTGATCGCATCACTCCCATCCTCTTCGATCATCACTGGCCACCTGTTTCTGAACGAATTAAATTCCAGATTCTACTACTTACCTTCAAGGCTCTGCATCAGCAATCTCCAACTTACAGTCAAGACCTAAGCACGCGCTACTTACATTCTAGATCGCTTCGGTCATCCTCTACGCTCAGTCTGAATCCTGTTAGCTTTAACGTTAAGACCTATGGATCTACAGCATTCTCTGTTTCAGTCCCCGAACTTTGGAACAAACTACCTGACAACACACGCTCATGCGAGAATCTAAGTCTTTTCAAGCATAAACTTAAAACCTACCTTTTTAAGAACTTTTATTTTAGTCATTAGGAAGATTTATTTGATTTTATTTTGTGTTTTATTTAAATTTAAATTTATTTTAATCAATTTTAATTCTAATTTTTTTCACTTTGTTAAGCGCCTACATCTATTACTGGATAGAAGGATAGTTCTTCTTCTTCTTCCTCTTACTATTATTAAGGTTTCGGTTTTCCACGCGAACCCATCAGTTGCCGCATTCACTTTGTGCTTAGTCGCTTTTACGAGAGCAACTTTAGTAGTCCTTTATCGTGGCGAGAACGGTACAGCCGTGAAATAGCATCGACAAGCCAGATCCAGTCGGTAAGACTCCAGTAGTTAGGGAAATGGTTACCCTAGAGCACTTTTTCCCTCTTTACCACCGTTTATTTGTGTCATTGAACACCGTCATGACTTTTCCTGTCATTTTTTTCTAATTATCCCTGTTATTAAAAAAATTTATGTTTATCTATGTCATTATAACCCGTCATGACTTTTTCTGTCATTTTTTCTATTTATTCCTGTTATTAAAAAATATCATTTCAAAAAGTATTAATTTCACAAATTAAATAGTATGCTAAATATAATGAAAATAATCACGTTTTTTACAAGAATATTGAAAAAATGCGCTAAAATTTTTAAATTATGATGAAAAATAATTATAAGTTAAACATTAGTGTCTAAAAATATATTAAAAGAAGTCATGTCTAACCAAACAACCAATAGTTTTCAGGGTTCTCAACCCTTTATAACAGATAAACAATTTCAAAATATGTCTTTGGATGAAATAAGAAATATATTAAAAGAAGAAAAAGAAGAACTTAAGAAAGATTATAAAGAAAGAAGAGAAAGAAGAAAATTGATTAAACAATATAAAAAATTGACACAAGCTAGAGAAAAAGTAAGACAAGGTACTGATATAAAAAAAGAATTGAAAAAACCTAAACCCAAACCTAAACATTCAACCAAAACGGTGGTTATTTCTAAAAAGAAAAAGGTAAAATCATTTGATGAATATTTTGAGGAATGTATAAGAAATAGAAAGATTCCCAAAGATACTCCTCCTTATCTTCGTAAAGCTCTTGAGCGTGCTATTTTAGAACATGAACAAGAACCTAAAAAAGAAACTATTTTAGAATATGACCAAGGACTTGAAAAAGAAAAATCAGCTTTTGAGAACTTTGCTACTAAGTATACTATTCAAGGAATACCTGGTCTTAATCCAAAAGAGTATTTTGGGCGAATACATAAAACTTTAAGAGATTTTTTCATAAATAATCGAAATATAAAATTTAGGATGAATTTGGTTACTCTCATGAAAAAAGAAAAATCTGATAAAATAGAAGAAGATAAATCTTACTTTACTTCGGGTAATTTAAATAATATGAAATCAACAGATGTTGACTACTTATTAAAAAAATCTTTATTAGCTATTGAAGGAGATTTTGAAGAGTATCAAAATAATGGAAGTGATTGGCGATTTAAAAGAGTTGATAAACTTGACATTCATACCGTGGAATATAATCCAACAAAAGGGTCGTCTTACATTCCTCTCCCAGATTGGATATCAAATAAAAAGGCGATTGTTAATATACAAAACAAAGATGAGAAATGCTTTCTTTGGAGTATACTTAGATATCTTCATCCGAAAGAAAGAGATGAATATAGACTAACAGGTTTGAAAGAGTATGAGTTTTCACTTAATACTAAGGGAATTACTTTTCCTATGAAAATAAAAGACATTACCAAATTTGAAAAACTTAATCCAGAACTTCAAGGAATTAATGTTTTTTCAGTTGATGAAAACAATAACTTTTATCCTTTAAGAATGGCAGAGAAAGATTGTTTTAGTACTATTGATTTGTTTTTGTACGAAGAAGACGGTGTTAGTCATTATTCACTAATTAAAAATTTTAATCGTTTGATAAAGACACAAAAAACTTCGAGTAAGAATGGTAAGATATTTAATTGTAAGAAGTGTTTTACTCATTACACTAAAGAAGAATTATTACAAAAACATATCTTATATTGTTCAAATAATGAGACGGTTTCTGTAAAAATGCCCGCATCAAACACAATGTTACATTTCAAAATTATCACAAACAACTTCCTATTCCTTTTGTAGTTTATGCGGATTTTGAATGCTTTACCAAACCAATGAATACTTGCAGTCCTAATCCAAAAGATTCTTATAATTACAATTACCAAAAACACATACCATCAGGATTTTGTATTTATATTAAAGGAGTGGTTGATAAAAAAATAAAACCAATTATTTATTCGAAAACAGAAGAAGATGAAGATATATCAAAAGTATTCGTAGAAAAACTTACAGAAGCAACTAGAGGTATATATAACGATTTTTATCGTAGACCAAAACCTCTTAGACTAACTCAAGACGAACAAAAATCATTTGACAAGGCAGAATTTTGTCATATTTGTAATAAAGAATTATTGGAAGACAAAGTTAGAGATCATTGTCATTTTACAGGTCAGTACCGCGGTGCTGCTCATAACAGTTGTAATCTTAAGTGTAGGAAACCATTAATTCTTCCAGTTATATTTCATAATCTTCAAGGGTATGATGCTCATTTGTTTATAAAACAACTTGCAAGTTTACCAGGTGAGTTAAATTGTATTCCTTCAACGGAGGAAAAATACATATCCTTTTCTAAAAAGATTAAAGTTGATGAGTATAGGTCTAGACGAAATGGAGAGACTATTCCATTATATTTTGAAATACGTTTTATAGATTCGTTTAAGTTTCTTCAAACATCACTTGCTAATCTAGTTGGAAATTTACAACCAGATGATTTTCATAATACAAAACAAGTATTTAAGAAAAATGTAGATTTACTATCTCGTAAGGGAGTTTATCCTTATGATTATGTTTCATCGCTTGAAAAACTATCCGAAACACAATTACCACCAAAAGAAGAATTTTATTCGAAACTAAACGACGAAGAAATAAGTGATGATGATTACCAACATGCTATTAATGTACGGAATACTTTCAAATGTAAATCATTAAGAGATTATCACGATCTTTACCTAAAGTCTGATGTCCTACTTTTGTCAGACGTATTTGAAAACTTTAGAAAAACTTGTCTTAAACATTATAAGCTAGATCCAGCACATTATTATACTTCTCCTGGTTTATCTTGGGATGCGTGTCTAAAAGAAACGGGCCAGAAATTACAGTTACTAAATGATTATGATATGTTAATGATGATTGAAAAAGGTATTCGTGGTGGTATATCTCACATAACAAAAAGATATGCGGAAGCGAATAACAAATATATGAAAGGTTATAATCCTGATGAGGAGTCCACCTATATTCAATATTTAGATGCGAATAATCTTTATGGTTGGGCAATGTCACAATCGCTTCCAACACAAGGATTTAAATGGATGAGAAAACTAACAAAAGAGACATTAATGGAAATTTTAGAGAAAGCAAATCATAGTGTGTTAAATCGTGGAAGAAAAGGTTATATATTTGAAGTTGATTTGGAATATCCTTCAAACCTATGGGAGGAGCATAATGACTATCCTCTAGCACCAGAGAAGATGATTGTTAATGGTGTTGAAAAACTAATTTGTCATTTTAAACCAAGAAAAAACTATGTTGTTCATTATCGAAATCTTAGACAATATCTTGAAATGGGAATGAGAATAACTGCGGTTCATAGAGGAATATCTTTTAACCAATCTCCTTGGATGGAACCATATATAAGAAAGAATACGGAACTTCGAAAAACAGCAGCCAACAGTTTTGAGAAAGACTTTTTCAAACTAATGAATAATTCAGTATTTGGAAAAACAATAGAAAATATAAGGAAAAGACAAAATATAGAACTTGTTGATAATCGTATGAAAGCTGCCAAACTAACAAGTCGTCCAAACTTTGATAGGGTAACAATATTTGATAAAAATTTTATCGCAGTTCATATGAAAAAAACCGAAATCTTTTTTAACAAACCAGTATATGTTGGTCAAGCAATTCTAGATTTGTCAAAAACTTTAATGTTTGATTTTCATTATAATTACATTAGAAAGAAATACAAGCATAAAGCCGAATTATTGTTTACAGATCCGGACTCATTAATGTACCACATTCAAACAGATGATTTTTACAAAGATATATCCCATGACATAAAAACCAAGTTAGACACATCTGATTACCCCCCCAATCATCCATCTGGAATACTGACAGGAGTTAACAAAAAAGTAATAGGGATGTTTAAAGATGAAGTAGCAGGAAAACAAATAACTTGTTTCGTTGGATTACGGCCCAAACTTTACAGTTTTAGAATAGAAGAAGATAAAGAGGTGCGTAAATGTAAAGGAATAAAGAAAAATGTTGTAAAAGAGAAATTAGATTTTGATGATTATGTTCAATGTTTATTTTCGGGTAAAAAACAAATGAGAACAATGAAGATAATGAGAAGTGAAAATCAAGATATATATTCGAAAGAAGTTAACAAAGTAGCTCTAACTAATGAAGATGACAAGCGTGAAATACTTTTAGGAAAAATAAAAACGATAGCTTTAAGATAATATTATACGAATAATAAATGGTATATACGAATAATAAATGATATATACGGAAGATCAAATAAAGAAATATTTTGAAATATTACATAATTATACTAGTAATTCCCCAGAGGAAGTGAATGTGAAAGCTAAATGTTGTAATTGTGAAAATAGAGAATTTTTTACCATTGATTACGGTTATAAAATTTGTGATTAATGTGGAGTAGCAAACGGACATGTATTAGGATTTTACGATATTAAAGATTGTGATAGATTATATTATCGAAAAAAGAGTGTATATCAGCGTAAGTACCACTATGAGAAAAAGGTTAATCAGGTTTCTAAAAGAATAAATCTAACCAATGAACAAAAATACGAACTTTAAGTAAGTTAATGACAATAGACAATTACGTCATGGAAATACTAAACAAGCAATACTGTAGAAAGAGAATGATAGAAGTATTTTTTATTTAATCAAAAGACTTTTGGCTGAGATGGGTTGTGAAAAGTACAAACTAATTTATCTTAAGATTTCACCACAAACTTTAGATAATTATGAAAATTGGTGGGATAGTTATAAATCACTCAAAACCGGCTAGATTTCAATATTAATTTAATATTGAAATCTTACTATTGATTACTTAGTCCGAACTTTTTGCTATACCTACTAGAAAATCTATCTGCTATAGGTGTTTGATCGATTATCATTTCATCTACCAACTTCATGCGATCAACAAACTCTTCTTTATTAAATTCATCTCCCCGAAGAGCTGCACGCAGTTCAACAAGTACTTTTTCATAAGTAGTGAATGCAATCCTTGTCATCTCAATTTTTCTCTTATAATTATTTTTCTTTCCAATTCCTGCCACAATAACTCCAGCACCATTTACAACTCCGAGAACAACAGGGTTTAGTGTTATTCCACCAGAAATAGTTCCTATTGCAACCAAACATATTCCAGAGATTGTAAAAGCATCATCAAGAAATTTATAACTCTTATACGATTTCTTAAAACACCAGTATTTCTTATGGTAATGACTATAAAAGTTTTTTAGGGTTTTAACGTCTGTTTCGGACAGAGATTTATCTATATGGTTAAATTCAAAGATATCCCTCATTTATATCTATATTATATAAGATCCGTTTAACTTTTCTTGAAGTATTACTTTGTGATATTGCTCAGAGTCGTCGTCGTAAAAGTTTTGAGAGTACATTAATTTATTTAACACTCCATCTTCAGTTGTAAACTTCCAACGTTGATTAACATTATAATGAACAGCTGGTATAGTTATTATTTCGCGGTAGTTACTTATTTTAACTTTTGTGACATTTGAAACAAAATTTTCTGTTTGCCATAAAACAATTCTTTTTTTATCAAAACTCCTTGGCATGGTAAAATTTTGAGTTGCTCTATGGATAGTTAAAGTTACTTTATTGTTTGTTTTATCATAATTTAATTTTACTAAAATATTATTGTTTGTTGATAAATATTTAGTTAGGGTAAAACTACTATTTCTAAAATGAGTAAAAACAATACATAAAGTAGATTTCGAAGAATGTGTAGGAGAAAAAGTAACATCGTAACCATTAACATTTAAACCATCTTTTTTTATTTCATCTAGGTCTTTATTAGCTGGTAGTGTAATATTAGGCTTTACAGAATTAATAATAACTCCAGATGAACCTATATTTGTTCCATAACTATCCGCATTAGCAAAGTCATAGACCTCACTTAAGTATAATCTGTACAAAGCATTTTTAGTAAAAGGAGCTAATTCTTTTACTAATGCAACTGTTGCAGCACTATTATCATTTTGTCGGTCAAGATTGATATTTTTAATTTCTTTTTGATTTGCATTTATACCAACATTGTACACAACTTCTGTTGGTTTGATGTCAAATGCGGTGTGATAGTCGTAAACTTTATCTGGGTCGATATTGCTAAATGTACCCACAATTCCATAAGCAATCATGTAAACTCCTGAAAACTGTTTCGGATAAATAAGCAGATCAGCTCCTCCTTCCTGAGGAATATTTACCAAAATGTGAAGAAAGAATTTATTACCAAATGGCACCTTATAAAAATTAACTATTATTTTGTGGTAATACATAATTTTTTTTTGTCCACTTGAATTAGTATAATTATGGGAAAATTTTCTCACATTAACATTTCTAATAAATAATCCTTTTGAACTTAATTTGTCAACACTTATTTGTGACTTATTCCACAGAGTGTAATCAGTGTTGAGTAACTCCAGACACAAAGTATAATGAATAGATGAAGTCAACTTGTAAAAATTAATTCCCATTTTATACTTGTATCCACCTTGAAAATTTTTATTTATAGTCATGTAAATAACTTTATGGTTATAATTATGAAAGTTTCCTTTGTTTGGTGCTAAATCACCTATCCTTCTTATAAAAAAACTAGTTCTATTATCTATTTCATCAGTCCATTGAGATGCGCTGGACATAAGATAAGCAAACTGGTCGTTGTAATGACTTGGTTGAACTGCATTACGATGAACTAGATTGTCAACATATTCTTTTTTTGTTGCTTCATCTTCTAGTAACGGTTTACTAAGATTTGTTATTTTATGATAGTTAAGATCTAAGTCTCCAGTCATATCGACGGAACCATCTTTTTTTAAATAACCACTTAAATCTGAACTTCCTCTATTATCATCCACATACTTTTTGGTTGCAGCATCTGTATTTGAAGTTGGAGTTGCAAGACCAACTATTTTTTTGTTTCCAAGATTTAGGTTATTAGTCATTGTTATACTTCCATCTTTTTTATAAAAGAACTAGTATCAGGTATTGAGTCATCCACATACTTTTTGGTTGTCGCATCAGTGTCTGATGTTGGTGGTATAAGTTTAATTATTTTTTTATTATCCATGTTTAGATTATTAGTCATTTTATTTGTTCCAGCAACGTGAAGATACTTCATATCTGAGAAAGCTAATGGTGTTGGTTGTTTAGGTCCCGTTGGAGCTGGCAGATTTAACATTTGATTATTATCCATATTGAGATTGCCTTTCATTGGGTAGGAACCATCTCTGTCAATAAAAGTGTTGTCTACGTAATCTTTTGTAGGAGGTTCTTTTCCATCCAGTGGTGTGCTAAGATTTGTAATTCGGTATGTATCCTTCATATCAATGTTTGAATTAACTACCAATTGTGATGTTGTGGATGATCCACCAGAATTATCATCCACATATCTTTTTGTAGCGGAATCATTATTAGAAATAGGTGCTCCAACATTTGTAAGTCTTTTTTGATTCATATCATAATTTCCATTTGCGGTAAGACTAAATCCTACTCCTGGAGCACCCTGTATTCCTTTAGCAAAAGGAAGATCAAAAGATTGTTCATTAAATATTCCCATTTTTTATTATTAGCTTAGATTACTAGTAAAGTTTTTTGCAATACATTTTTTTGGTTTATCAACGTATAAAAATGAAAAGGGTTTTTTTGTTGCCGCCCTATATATCTCTTTGTCAACTCCTAATTCGGATGATATTCTGTTTGCTTCCCTTGAAGATGGAAATTCATACAGACAATAGTGAGAACAATTTAGCCGTATATCCTTTGGAGTTTTGTAAAAAGACTGACTGAGGTAGATTACAGAGCAATTCTTATGTCGTCCTTGAATGAAATAATCAATAAGTCGCCTCTGGTTTTTATCACATACATAGTCATCGAATATCACAAGTTTTTGATTGTCTTCGTAATCCATTTCTGTAACCGGGGTTATTTCGTCGTTACTCACATGAAGTATTTCATATCTAACTTTAGAACTCAGTTCTCTCATTTTTTGAATTAACTTTTGATACTTATCCTGTTCTAGATTACGCGCGTAAAGATAAATCTCATCGAAGTACAACAGTGGTTTGATTAACATGTGGTACAAAAGATTAGTCTTACCACTTCCACTGTTTCCACAGATTAACATTCGAAACGTATCCGCCGGCATAAAAGGAAATAACTGTTTATATTTTTTATCAATGTCATCGGTACTATCATAGTTTGGAATTTCCATTTATATATTTAATAGATAAAATGGATATAGAAGAAGCCAAAAATTTTGCAAGAAATAAAATCGAAGCCGACGCTTTGATTCGACAGGTGAGAGATGTTATAAAAACAACAAAATGGCAAAAACAAGATATGCGGGAAGGTTTTAAAGAGACGTTTAAACCACTTATTAAATCTCACGATAGCATTAAAAAAAGTATTGATGAGCAGCAAGACGCAACTATAGCACAACTTAAAAAAAATCAACTTGCTATTACACAAGGACTTAATCAAAACAAGCTGGCTATAACTGAAGGATTTGATAAACTTGACGAAGTAAAAAAGTGGGATTTGGCTCAATTACCTGGTTTTGAGGCGATTGAAGAGCCTAAAAAAGATGATGGAGTTTTACCCTCTACATCAGAGGAAGGACCAAAGATAGCAAAATTTACACCTGAAGACCTCAATAGAAATTTAATGAATAAAGAAGCACAAGATATACTCAAAGTTAATGAATACCACAAACTCCCTTCTGAGTATTTTGAAGAGGATATTTCTACTATTGATAAAGTAATCGAAGATGTTAACGAAGATTTAGAAGAGACATATAAAGCAATAAAAAATACTGCTATTCTTACACATGACTCAAGCGGTTATTCTTTAGCTAAACCAATAAGTAAAAAACCACATAAAAACACAATAAATTTTATAAAAAAATATAACACATTAAGCATATATGTAAAAAATTTAAGTAATCTTAAGGATTATAAAGAAAAAGCTGGCTCTGGAATGATTTACTTTAACAACCCACATCAACTTCTAGACAGACTTGAATTACTTGGTGGTTCAATTCTTGCTGGGAATAATGGTGTAATACCCGAATTTTCTCAAATAGCACATCTTCTCAACCAAATGAAAGTAATCTCAAAAAAACAACTGAATGATTTACTAAAAAGTTATATACCAATAAGATAAAAAAAATGGAAGAACGAGCTATTCACATTTCCTCAATAAATAGGGAAAAAAGAGGAACAAGCAGACCCGGTGATTTTACTATCAAATTTAATCCTTCTTTGAAACTCGACCCTGAAAAGAAACACCAACTTGCTCTTGACCGGTTGTCCATGACTTACTCTTGGTACAACATTAGAAGTGATTATGGAAACAATAAAATCAAATACACTCACGATGGTACCAACTGGCAAACAATTACGTTTGTAGATGGAATGTATTCCTACTCTGATATCAATGATTATATTCATCAATATATGTCTCAAAAGTCTCATCACACAACAGATTCGGGTGGAAAGAAAACTTATTCAATCAATCTAACTTTTATACTATCTACCTATCGAGTTCTCATATCACTTGATGGTGATCATCAACTTCATTTGAGAGGAACAGAATTTGGAGACCTAATTGGATTTGGAAAGAAACTTATTACAAAAACAGAGTATGGATCAAAACTACCAAATATCACAAATTCGATTGACGTATTAAATATCAACACAAGTGCGATAACTGATAGTATTGTAAATGGAATAAATACTAATACCATTGCTGTGATACCAACTGATAATCTCACAAGGTCTTATCCGTTTACTTTCGAACCTAAAAGACCATTGTATTGTCCTGTCTCTTCATTTCACATTGATGAAATGAGAATCTATGTGACAGACTCACTTGGAAGACCTGTAAATTTTAATGGTATTGATTGGTTTATGACTTTGATACTTCACTCGATGTAATACTTCGTAGTTATATAACTATTAATATAAAATGATGCGACAATCAGAGTTTAAAATGAGATTAGACCCTGAATTGGGTAGGTATACAAGACAACATATTTATGGTGAAGGAATGATGGATGTGTTTAAATCAGTTGGTAAAAAAATATTTGGAAAGACGATGAAAAAAGCTGCTAAAAAAGGCGTTGAAAAAGTGGTGACAACAACTGCAACAAAAACCGGTGAACATGCTGGTAAAAAGGCCGGTGATAAAATAGTTCAATTGTTAACAAAAAGTAATAATAAACCAAAAGTTACTTTTAATGAAAATGTAGAGACAATTCCAAGTAAAAAAGAGATAAATCAAAGAGTAAATGCCATTCTTAGTGGAGGTTCAACACGTAAGAGAAAATTATATAATTATTAAAATAAAATGAAGTAATTTAGAAATCCAAAATATTTAGAAAGATATGAGGATGTTGTTTATGACCTGGAACAGGCTCTAGATACAGCCCCAGCGAATAACACACACCAAACTAAAACAGGCCTTAGATTTGTCGCCGATAATACAGGAGAAACCACCCCTTTTGATTGGTATAACGCACGATTATCAATGGATTTTGAAGTAAATAAACTAGCAAACGGAGCAAACATCGCGGTTGCTGACCATAATGGAATTGTAAATGGTAGTAACTCCTTTATACAAAAATTTAGTATAATAGCAAATGGAAGAGAAGTTTATAGTTGTAATTATGCGAATCATGTTGTAAATATTAAAAATTTACTCGAATATAATCCTTCATACGCACAGAGTGTCGCTTCAAACGAATTATATTTTCTTGATACGTCAAGAGAAGCAGAGGAAAGAGAATTTGAAGTTAGTGGCACAAATCAGTTAGCTAAAAGAAGAGCAGAATATAGCAAAGGTTTCGCCGCAAGAAAAGCTTTGTTGGGAGCTTCAGCCACAGTAAACTGTGAAATTCCTCTCAATAGATATTCTTTCTTTGAAGCATTGGAAGACAAGCTACTTCCTAATACAAAAATCGAACTAAATATTGAAATTGAAAAAGATTCGAATTTAATTTTTCAAGCCGCCGGTAATTGTAGAGTTATTATAACAAGAGTACAACTTTTTGTTCCAAGACTTACTTTTAATTCTGAAGGACAAAAGTTGTACATGGAAAATTATCTTAAACCTTACAAATGGATATATTTGAATGAAGTAGTTGAAAGATCAAATAATACACAGCAACAGACAGGACATTTTAGAATTACAAATGCTATTTCAAAACCACGCCATGTATTTATTTTTGGAATTGATACGGCAAGAATTGATTCTCAAACGGAGAATCCATTTTTATACGACACTTTTGATCTACCAAATAATGCTAATATATCAAGATGTTACCTGGAAGTTGCGAATGGAAACGAATACCCCGATATTCACTTTAAACCTTCTGCTGATATGACAAGAGTATTTAGAAGTGTAATGTCATACATTTATGCGAATAATGATTATCAAGGTGGAACATTACTTAATAGAAGTAATTTTGAAACTTTATTTCCTTTTGTTTATTTTGACCTGACAAAACAAAAAATGGATATCAAAGACGGTGTTACAAAATTAGCATTTCATTACGAATTGACAGCTAATCCAAACGCTGATTATAATATTTACGCGTTAGTTTTACATGAAAGAGTAGCAGAAATATCACAACAAGATGGAAAACTATTGCTTCGTGCTTAATCTCAGACATCCCTGTCTCAAAGTGTAAGACATAATCAAAATTTTCTACAAGTTGTTAAAGTTTCACAGAATTTTCTACAAGTTGTAGAAAATTTTGTGTAATCATTTGATTGGTTGAAAAAAATCGCATGATAATCTCGTGATATAAAACAATAACCTTCTAGAAGGTTCTAATGATAATGCAATTTTCTATAATTAGATTCGAAGATAAAATCTAATTATAATACACCTAGAACATTCAAACTAATTAAAAAATCTTAACCACCAACCGAGTGAAAAATACAATAAACCCAAAACCAAAGAAGAAAAGATTAAGTGATGTGATTAAATTTTATGTAATTAATATCATAAAAAATGACTACTTATATAGAATATGGTGTAACACTTACAGATGGACAAAAGTCAAAACTGGCTTCTGCGATAATAAATCAATCACCACTAACTCTTCGGTTAAAACATTCTCATCTTCAAGGTTCTGATGAGTTAATGTTAACAAAAAGACAAATTTATAAAATAAAAAAATCTATTGCAAATGGTACCGGATCAGATATAAAGATAAGTAAAACTCAAATTAGAAATTCTGTAAAACATGGTGGAAACTTATTTTCATCACTCGCATCTCTCGGAGCAAAAGTACTACCATATGCAATAAAAGGAATTTCAAAAGCTGTTCCCGCATTAGCAACCGGTGCTGCTACTGTACTTGGAGAACTTGGAATAAATAAAATATTTGGAAAAGGAATCACAATTCCCCCAGAGTTTTTACCAATGCTACCACCTCTTGTAAGAGAATTTACCAAATCACAAATAAACCAAATTAACAAAGCTTATCAAACAGGAGGTCGACTGGTTATTAAACCAACTCGTAAACAGATAGAAGGAGGATTTTTAGGTACTCTTGCTTCTATTGGTATTCAAATGGCAATTAGTTTAGTATCTAGGATGTTTGGTGGGGGGCTTCATGTTGATAGAAGTGGATTATCTAATATATCAAACGTTTACATTCCACCCACACATGGAGAGGGTTATCCTTATCGCTCACCACCCTTTATTGGTACATGGGAAAACCCTATAGGAATGGGTGTTAAAAAAAAAAATTCCAAAGGCAAGGGACTACTATTAGGAAAAAACAGCCCATTCAACTCAATTCCCATTCTCGGCTCCATTTTGTAATTAAACCTTTATCCAACTTTGACCTCATGGAATGAGTAAAAAGACTTGGTATTAAAAATTTCAGAGGAATATATAGTCGTGATGGCCTACCAAACAAAATCAAAAAAGAATGTGGAATAATTAATCTAGATGATATGACAGGTCCTGGAACACACTGGGTTTGTTATAGAAATATAGATTCGGTAGTCGAATATTTCGATCCTTTTGGTTTGATAATGCCAAACGAAGCATTAGAGTATTTTAATACTTCTGGAAAACGTATTGTTTACTCGATAGATGAAATACAAAATCGCAGTACTGTTCTCTGTGGTTATTGGTGTTTATATTATTTAATCTAGCGACAACAAGGTAATAGTATTCTAGATGTAATACATAACCCTCATTTTGATAATGATAACAGCGATTTTATAAAGTCATACTTTGGAGGATAAAAACAATATTTATTAAATATTATTTTTTTAATCTTCGTCATCATCATCATCCGGCGCATTTTTTAGTGATTTAATTCTTTCAACTTTTGTATTAAGATCTTTAACAATATCAACTATATCATCAAATTTTGAGTAAATGTCAATAAGACGATAAAGTTTCTTCTTTTTATCACTATCTATTTTCAACCAAGAATACTCCTCATTTCTGATTTTTTTCCACATCTCACATTCACCATTCATTAACACTCTAGAAAGATCGTCGTTTTTCTTTCTAAGAGAATCAAACTCATTATTTATTTTTCTCCTTACTTCTTTCTCAAAATCCTTTAGTGTTTTAACATCCATCTTTTTTTCTATCTCAGAAAAGAATTTGGCTTCCATTTATTATATGAATAGATAGTTTCCTTTTACAACTTTGTTAAGCGTATTTGATTTCTCACTTATTTCCATAAGCAACTCAAACACTTTTATAAATTTAGTATCGTTTTCCAATCTAGATTGATCTACATATTCATAACTCACGTTGAAAAAATTATATATCTTTTGAAGTTCACTTTTTACAAAATTAGATCTGGTAGACATACTTATTAGACGTATTTTATCTAAACATTATATTAAATGAAAGAATCTTATTGTATAGTAGATAAAAGAGTAACTCCTTGCACAGAGCCAAGTGGTTACCAAAATGATAAAAGAGGTAGAACTCAATTCTTTTGTAGATGCGCAGTTTGCGGAAATAAAAAAGTTAGATATGTAAAAATGGGGACGGTTTCTCAAACTGGAAGTGGAAAAAAGACAAAACGAAAGTCAAAAAACTAATCAGCCCGTCTGAAGAGGCGGGCGTCTTTGATACTGTTGTTGGTACAGCAGTTGATGGATTTCTTCATTACGGTTTACCTTGGATGGGTAAAAAAGCAGTAGAAATGGGGCGATATGGAGCAAGTGAATTAATGAGAAATAAAAATCTTCAAAAGAAAGCTCTAAATTAGAGGCCCTACCAGGGGGTTCCCATGTCGTTCGTCTAAATTTTAAAACGTCTCGTGTCGGTGTTATAAATGCTTCACGTCGCTGTCGGAAATTGAACGATAATTCTTTGTCTTGGTCGGAATTTTAGAAAAGGGGGATAGCGATGCGTTGTAAATTTCTCAGTCTACATTCCACGTATCGAACACCCATACATCAATACATGACAGGAATCGGCTCCTGTTCATGACCATTCACAATTAGCACAATTCACAGGAGGGTCCAATGAAGCTCACTGACAAGAGATGTTCTCTGAAGCGCAAGGAAAATTGACGAAAACTACTTCTTCTTGGCATTCAGACTGGTGATAAATTAGCCAAACCACCGTTCTTTGTCGCTTATTCTCGACTTTGCCGTCACTGTCGCGATTTGGCACGGGGAGGTTGTCTCTTGTCGCGATTTCATTTCACGCTCTGTCGCTACTTTTTGGGTCATGTCGCTTGTCGGAATTTACCCTGGCAGGGCCTCAAATTATGGAATTAATAAACTCACCCCATTTATTCAAGATTCTGTTGGAACAGCAATGGATGAACTGTCAACCAAAGTTAGACCAAAAAAACATATAAAACTGATAGACCAGAATTAGATGGGAGAGGAATAGATATTCACAATCAGATTGGTAAATTACCAAAACCAAAAGGAGGATGGACCTTGCCAGGACATAAATATACCGGTCCTTATAATGATCTTGAGAACCAAGTAACATATGATCCGAAAACCGGAGAAATATTAGAAATTTACGATCAACCAACCGGGCCAACCGATGCCGTAGCCATGCAACATGATGTTGATTATAGTGTTTGTGGTGATGACCGAAAGTGTAAAAATAAAGCCGATAAAAAGATGGTAAAATCGTTGGATGCTATTCCTTGGAAAGAAAGACAATGGGGGCATACTTTAGCTAGAACAATAATTAATACTAAACAAAAACTTGGAATGGGAACAAAAAACGTAAAGCGGCGTTGAGTAGTGATTGGTCTCAACAATTAGCCGATGAACTTCACAAACCAATCACACGAAACTTTCAAAAGAGATCAGTAGTCTCAAACGGGATTGATGATATTTGGGCTGCTGATTTAGTTGAAATGCAAAAGTTTAGTAAGTGGAACAAAGGAATTAAATATCTGCTGATGGTTATTGATGTGTTTAGCAAATATGGTTGGATTAGGGGGTTGAAAGATAAAAAAACCGAAACTGTTGGTAAAGCATTCGATGACATATTCAAAAGTAAACGTAGACCTCAAATGTTATGGACTGATAAAGGTTCCGAATTTATAAGCAAACATTTTAAAGATTTTCTGAAAAGAAAGGGTATCAAGCTGTATCACACTGAAAACGAGGAGAAATCTAGTGTTGTTGAGAGATGGAATAAAACAATAAAAAACAGAATGTGGAAGATGTTTACTGTGAATAACAACACTGTTTACTGGGATAAGATAGATAAACTAGTTGATGATTACAATAACGCGAGACATTCTAGTATAAAAATGACTCCTGTTGAAGCAAGTAAAAATAAAAATAAAAATAAAGTTTGGTCTTATTTGTATGGTGATTCTATTTACTTGAAACCTGGTAAATCAAAGTTTGCAATTGGTGATCGTGTTAGAATTCCTAAGTATAAGAGGAAGGTATTTGATAAAGGCTACACACCAAACTGGACAGAAGAAATATTCGTAATTGATAAAGTTTTACCTACAAAACCTGTTACGTATAGCATTGTTGATCTGATGGGAGAAAAAATTAAGGGTTCTTTCTACAACCAAGAATTACAAAAAACAAAACAACAAACATTTAGAATAGAAAAGATTATCAGACGAGATAATAAGACAAAAATGGCATTAGTAAAATGGAGTGGATATCCTGATAAATTTAACTCATGGGTTAGTTCTAAGGATTTGGTTGATTTTTAATACGAAATTCGTATTAAAAATAAAATCCTATTATTTACTCGTTTTCTTCATCAGAGATAACTAAGTCTTCGACTACTTGATCAGTTATCTCTTCAATATCGCTTTGCTCTTCATCTTCCTCTTCAATTGTTAGTAAAGACTCTCTAGGTTTGAGTGGTTTAACATAACACTCATGAACTTTTATTTGTAAAGATGTTACAGTTTTACTTATGAAGATTCCTTCAATTATTAGAGCCAATTTAACATTACAGTACTGATCAATATATTTAAAAGGATTTAAATCCTTACCTCCCTTTCCCTTAAACAAAGATAAAATTTTCTTTGATTTTTCCGAGTAAATAAGTTTTGCGTAAAAAACCGGTGAGGATGAGGAATCTATTCTTGTTTTCTTCTTTCCTTTTTTATCAGTATATTCTTCCTGTTTGTAATATAATGGAGAAGTTAGAGTTGATGCTAAATCCGCACCGTATTCACTCTCTAAATGTTGTTGAGATAGAGTTGTTACGTTATTAATAACATCCAAAAATGCTTTTTCTTTATTATTTGGTACGCTATCTTTAGCCCAAAGACATACTGGAATACTTTAACCTACTAACTTTTTTGTTTCTTGATTTTTCTTTTCATTAACACCAAAGCTAAAAAAAATGGGGTTTCGATTACAAGCGGTCCTTTCTTCCCATTCGAATATTTGATTTCAATTGGGATACGCTTGTATTTGATCTTGCTATCTTTGACTTTAAATTCTTTGGCTTCTTTAAAGATAATATTGTCTTGGGTAAGATTTTCGTAACTTGTTAACATCATTTTAATTATAATTATTTTAATCTTTAAACAATTTTTTTATTCTAAAAATTCGAATCTGTATTTACCCCCATCTTTTTTGGAAATCGCTGATTTATAATATTTTACTTTTCGACAAATATTAGAAATGCTTGTAACGGAAATATTTAAATCGAGTGAAGCGGAAACAATACTATTATATTTTTTTTGTTCGTTATTTTTAATGTTAAATGAGGTGATTGCTTTTCTACGACCTTTTTGCACATTTTCTATAAAAGTCAGCAATTGTAAATTTTCGATTTTATTATCTGTTTTAACAGAATCACAATGGTCAATGACAAATCCTTCTGGAATAACACCTCTAATACATTCCCATTCAAACCTATGTATATAGCAACTTTTTGGTTTAATCAAATTTTTATCGTTAACTTTAAACATATAGTATCCCTGATCAGACATTAATTTTTTTAAAATTCTTCCAGTTTTTACATTTAAAATTTCACCATCTTTTGAAGCGGCATAATTAGTAAAAATAGGATGAATATAATATTTCTTACCACCAATTGAAACTTTTTTCCGCAACATTTTTATTTAAAAAATATTTAAATTCTTAAGCTGATTTACTACCAAAGAAGTTTTGTTGACCAATAGTTAGCTGATTCTGGATTATTATGAGTTAATTCTCCTTGTTTATTCTTAATCTTTGTAGCTCGAGCAAGATATTTATCTCTTCTATCTTTGTCTTTGTAAGTAAGATAGTCTGGATATTTTGACGACCCAAAATGAACTTTTTTCCACTTGGAAGTGTAGCCATGTATTTGTTATTTTTTCGTGTTGAATAATCAAGCGATTCAGCACCTAGTTTTTTAGCATTTCGGGTTAACTTTTTAAACTCTTTTCCACTAACAATATACTTTTTATCCGGAACATAATCTGGATCCTCATCATGTTTATTACCATCATCAACTATAAAATCCAAATCATCCTTTGAAGGAGTAGTTTCTCTTGATCTTGGTTCCATTTTCATTTATTTGTTTGTACTAATTTTATTTAAATCAACAACATATTTATTCAAAAACAAAAGAAATATTAAAGTATTTAATCTTATAACAAAAAAATTTTATAAGATTTAAAAATATTAATCACTATCACTAAAACAATATCTATAACGATATCTATCTCTATCTCTATCACTATCAGCATTATAATCCCAAAATCTATCATCAGCTTCATATTTTATTTTAAACTTACTACAAAATAATTCAAAATGATCATAAATATTTTTGAAACCAGGATAGGGAACAATAAAATTTTGTTCATCTCCATGATAACTATTAATAGTTTTTTTAAAATTATTAAAAATTTTTTTAATCTTAATTAAGTTTTTAACATCACTACTTTTAATCTCAAAATTACTTACATCTTTAAAATTACTTAAATTTTGTTCTATAAAAAATCTTTCAATAGATTTTTTTATTTTATCAACTCTATGATTATCAAATAACCCAGTATTTACATCGTTTAAATTATCAAGAAAATACTTTAATTCATTATTAATACGTAATATAAAAAGGTATTCATTCTTAAAATCCCTTGCATATACTGGAATATCCTTGATAAACATTATGTTTTATTATTAGACACAAATGATTAACTTATAATTAATTTTTTCATCATAATTTAAAAATTTTAGCGCATTTTTTCAATATTCTTGTAAAAAACGTGATTATTTTCATGATATTTAGCATACTATTTAATTTGTGAAATTAATACTTTTTGAAATAATATTTTTTAATAACAGGAATAAATAGAAAAAAATGACAGAAAAAGTCATGACGGGTTATAATGACATAGATAAACATAAATTTTTTTAATAACAGGGATAATTAGAAAAAAATGACAGGAAAAGTCATGACGGTTTTCAATGACACAAATAAACGGTGGTAAAGAGCAAAAAAAGTGCTCTAGGGTAACCATTTCCCTAACTACTGACTCCAATAACAACCTGGCCTTTCAGGATAGATTCGAAACACTTTACTCGAAGAGGTTTAAAATTAAGCGATGGAAAGTTACCGTTACTAAGGGAAAACCCAACCCGGCGAAGCACTGATAAAAACTCTGGTCTACCTGCCATTTGTTTATCGTACGCGATCGTACGCTAATTAAGTACACCCTCAAATTCTGGGTGTTTGGTGACCGATGCCAGGGCCTTTTCCCGCCCCACCTCCAAAGCCAGGGAAAAGCGCCCTGGGGACGAGGTTGCACACGAAGCTGGGTAACAAAATATGCGGTTTCAAAAATGTCTAAATTCGTGTGGAAAAGAACAAAATATCTTCTAAGAAATCCATACAAAACGTTCAAAGCAATCCTAACGATCACATACGGGGCCGACTTCGAAAATGGATGGAATTTCGACCCCGGGGGTACTCACAGGTTTTTTACGGAGAGGCAAACCCTTGGAGTCCAGCCCTTTACCCTTGTATATACCATTTTTTGCAGAAAGGTACCCATTTCGTATGTCTTCCATTGAGAAGTTAACTCTCTCACATCCCTTTAACTCCCGTAAGTGGCGCGCCTTTGAACATGAATACCGGTAAATTGCTTAAACAGGAATTTCAAGGTCTGCTTATCATTCCGGACACTGCTGAATTTCTTGCATAGGATACTACTCTAGAATTACTTTAGAATTGCGAGGCCCATGTTTCCTCTGAGTTTGTGCTATTCTGTTATGCTCGAAGAGGACGGCGCCTATGTTTACTAAAGTGTTTTTAAACTTATAAAACAATCCTACTCGTTTTTAAAAACAAAGCTTTGCAAACCTGGTCTCGGCTTGTAGAAAAAGTAAATCGCCTTCATGTACCATTTCACGTCTTCCGAAATACTAGAAAAGCAAATTTATAGACTAGTCTTCAGAACAACAACAACAACAACAACCTGATAACAACAGTTCGACAAAATTTACACTTTTATACCTTATTTGATCGTCTTCATGAAAATATTTGCCAACTGTTGTGTGGCGAGTACATTTAATAAAAGACTGGAGTTCATAATAACAGGGTATGGACGAATATCCTCCGTAGATAATATTAATATTTGGGGCAAAATAAATGTTATTGATTACATTTTCATACACATTACTAGTTTCAATCAGTGGCTTTAAACATGCTTACACGAGTGGCTCGGGATTCAATAAGTTCCTCACGTGCAGTATTTCCGGGTCACCTGCTATTCCTCTGGCTCTCTAAAAAAAATGTTAATTAACTAACGCATAACAGATATGTAATGCAAAGTTACCATAAAAATTCTATAGTTTGAATTTCTTTATAAATATTATAACCACGAAACACGGGCAAATGCTTTTAGAAGGTGACTTCAGGAATTATCAAGGTCCGTAAAACTAATATTCCCCCATGTTAGACTAATAATACCGTAAGGGGTTTGTGCTATTAGTCTAACGGAATAAATATAAATGATACAATAATTGTAAATGGACGTTAATCAAAATATTATACCTGCTATTTTAAGACGGCCGTGAGGATTGATGGGAGAGGAAACTATCACGTTTTCTTATGCTTAGGGGAGTAATCGTCGCTGACCATCTGGCATTCTGGATTCAGTTTCAGTTTATCGTTTTGCCATAAGATGCACAAAAACAAGAAAATAACCCAAGGGACACCACCTGGCTTATAAGGATTGGGCTCCCTCAGATAAATTATCCCAACAAAATATCATCAGAATTATACAAGGTGTGGATTTTGGATTCCAGGTACTGGTTTCCAGATTCTTTGTCGTTAGAGCGGCTTGGATTCTGGATTCCAGCTGTTGGCGAGATTGAATTCCGGATCCCAAAGCCCAGGATTCCGGAATCCGGAAACCCTTTCATAGGGCGGTAAAGAGCTGAGTTTCCGTTTGACGAACCAACGAGTTTGTTCATTTAATATAGCGAAGACGCCTTGAAGGACTCGAGTGAAATCTTATGCGATAAATGCAACATATGGCCAGTGGCGGATCCAGGTCTTTAGATAAGGGGGAGAGGGGTTGGGGCGGTCATCCAGACTCTGAGATAAGGGGGGGGGGAGGGGGGTGGCCTCAAAAAAGCCACTGTATGGCTCAAAGTGATCGTCATGTCGCGTTGGAAGTGGATTTCTTATTAGCGTTTATGACAATAAAACGAGCCCAAGTTCGATTTATACCATTTTTGTACCGGCTGAATTCTTTCATCAACCTAGTCCCGTGTACTCTCGAGGGTACCCTGGGGATGGGGGAATTTCATCGGCAGTTTACAGTCTGAGAGACCACGTGACGTAAATGTTTATGAATAACTATTTGTAGGTTTTACGAAAGGGTCTTTTATCTACCTTGTCAAGTTCCCTTGGGAAATGAAACCATTTCCTTTGGACCTCCAAGCAAAGCAGAACAGCAAACCTTATCACAATAAAGACGAGGCAAAGGTAGACTGGAAGTCCCGCAATAATTGCAAGCGTCACCAACTCATTGGAACTACTCTGTGAAACAACGGAGAGGAGAAGTGATGATGTCACTAAAACTAAACTTGTGAAATTGTGGCATAGGTTGGCATATCCAGAAAGAAAAAGATGAAAAAATATTCTTTTGTTACAAAATGACCCTCTTTTTGCTTAAATGTAGGGAGATATAAGAACCGTCATGATCTGATGACTCCATTTTAATCCTTCTAATTTAAAATAGGCCTGGCCCTAGTTGCTAAAAAGGTTGATAGCGTTATCCACTGGATAAATCACTGTCCACTGGCACGAAATTGGCTTTCGTAATACCGACATACCGTGTGGCACGAAACTTTTGCGGGAGTTCATTTTGCGGATTGGTGATTTTTTGGGTTTTGGGAGAACTAATTTTTGGCGATTAGGACAGATTGGTTTTTCTTGTTGGGAATAAATTTTTGCGGTTTTCAGCAAGTCCCAAACCCAGCATTGCAAACAACAAACAACACTACGGAGTGCGTAAAACCATGCAGTATTTCACTATATAGCGTTTTGAATGTTTCTGAACGAAAGAGAAAAGTTGTAATTGAACAGACACGAATTCCTTGTGTAGCGAATTTAAGTTAGAAAATATTTACTCTGGAGTAAATTCTTGAGGGAAAAATGTCTGCCATAATTTTTAACTGTGGGAACTTACTTTTGCAGATCGCTGGAAAAATCGCCAAACTTTGAACCAGCAAAAATTTCGTGCCACTCGGTATTTATTATTGCCTCCTAACAAACGGGGCTAGGATCTTTAACGTTGCGATCCAAACAAATTTTAGGAAGATTTGTAATTGAAGTCATCAGTGCATAATAGTGCTTATATCTCCCCACCAATTTGCACCAGCGACGGGCTGATGTTTGGCAAGGGTGCATTTTTTGACTTAATCTTTTTTCATATGCCAACCAATCCCACAATTTCACAAAACTGTATTTACACGTCACACTTCTTTGGTAAGCTGCGGTATATATTACTCTTTGAGAAGAGTTTGGAAATTGATAAAATTACTCCTTACTCCATAACTGGTGGTGCACTGGAAATCAATTGCAACTCTAAACGACAACCTGTTTAAAGGAAAAAATTATTGTTAAAAAATTGTTTGAGAATTAAATGATAAAAAAGAGTGATCATTCATCATTCATGATCAGATTATTGTCTTAACACTATGAGAACCGGCTTTTTTTGCCTCCTGCGACGAGGGGGCGTCGAGGAGTCCCTCCTGCACTTCTCAATAACTTTAAAACCTCTAATGATACGGTGACCCAATTTACACAGAATAATCTAATAATAGGCGTAAACTGATTGAAAAAGTGACGTAATTTGACGTCAGTTCGTTGAATTTATTGGCAGAATACAAAATTCCATCTATTTTTCCCCTAAAAGTGAAAAAATACGTAAATAGTAAGGTGTCTGACAAAATCGAGAAGTTGGCTGACACATGAATAAACTTTAAAAACGGCAGTGATGTAATGATTGATGATCGTGATCACTATGATGTCTTTATCAGTCTCGCTTGCGTAAGCAGCGAGACTCATCATCTGCAACGCGTTTTTCGCCCGGGGGGTACGCCCTCATATAGGCTATATAAGTACGTGCAGCGCAGCGCCAAAGGGCATGGTTTTTCGTTTTTTGGCATTTTTGGTTTGATATAGGGTATTAATTTCGACCATTTTGGTCTGAAATAGGGTTTGGTTTGTGCACTCTAGTCTTGAATTGGGTATGTTTTTTAGAAGAAGCTACTTCTTCATCATTTGGCGATAGGACCATTTCCTTTTTTATGTTTACGCCAACCGTGTACGTGGCGTAACAACTTGTCAGGCGCTCCAGTCACGCGCCGGGCTCCGGGGCTTCAGGTCTGAAATAGGGTAGGGGAAATCACAGATTTTGGTCTCAGCTGGGGTAAGGGTTTCAGGAAGCGTGCGCATACCCCCACCAATTTTTCTGGAAGTACCCCCCGAGGTTTTTCGTCGTATTTCATACACAAATGGGGGGTAAATGTGCCAGGCGTTCCTTGCGGAGACCGTGGAAACTGGGACTAAGAATCGTTGCGTGATCGAAGCCACGCATGTTTGGTGAAGAAAGCTTAGGAAAGATTAGATTTAGAGCTTTTCCGAAACGTCTCGGTGCACGAATTCTATCGCTTGAAAGCGTTGATTACTTTAGAACAAGTTAACACTACTGATTGGTCGGAAAAAATAAATAGGAATCTTAATTAGCAAAACTGCGATGGTCGGGTGTTGTAAACGTTCATTGTATGCAGTTGATGAGCATGCGATTTATTTTCGTCGATGATTGAAATGACGTGCCATGGAAATCACTTTTTTTGATCTCTGGCAATGATGTAATTTCTCTAGCATCGAGACCCTTGAATTTTCGTGTATCTATACACGCGTATAGCCTGCGATCGCAGACGTATCTCTAACTCAATTCAGAAACAAATAATAAGTCTCGACGTCGATTGGTAGGAAGTAAAAAACCTTTAGCGAGTATACTAAATCCTGTTTCGTTTAGAATTAATCGCCTCTTCATTTCTCGATCTAATCTCCAAGCAAGCGAGGCCGACCGCCGCTGTAAGCGCGTTCTTGTTATTAATGGTGGATCTGGAACCATCCGCCATCTTGCATTCACCATTTTAAAATATTGAATACCGTTTACGATTAAAAGCACTATACCGTAAATGGTCGATTAAGCGCTGTGGCGCGTCTTTCATTTTCCCTGTTATAGGTGCGGCGCTTATACGAGAGCGGCGCTTATTTCAACTATGCGTTAAACACTGAGGGGAATATAGAGAGAATTTAGTGAGGCGCGTACGGGGTGTACACCTCGATCTGTTATGTGAACCCTGTTTAAAGAGTTTCCCTTCATTAGTAATTGAACTCACGAATTGGTGGAGGTATTATTTCTCAAGCGATACGGTTTTGATATCTCTTTATATCAAGCGCCGTAACAAAGGTGGGGTGTTAATTTGTAAATACGCAAATAAATTAGCGCCGCGGCGCTTATTCGAGAGCGGCGCTTAATTGATCATTTACGGTATGTTCCTAACGGGTCTAAATCAAAAGTTGAAGAAAATCTGTGGAAGGATTCTATTTATCAAAAGACTTACCATACAGTAACGTATAGAAATCCCACAAGAGACCCAATCAGCCTGTGGTCGGTTGTCATACAAGCAAACAGTGGGTAGAACAAAATTCCATACACAAGGATGCTTACTATGCCCTGAAAAACTGTACACAACATTAGAGCCATTTATACGAGGAAAACTAAGACGCGAACGCATAAGGCGCATGAGTTAATTTTTGGTGGGAAATTTTTCGCTTGCCTTGCGTTGAACTGGCAGGCTACTGGCAGTTTTTTTGCTTTTTTTTTGTGTGTTTTTTTTGGCGTGCAGTTGTTATTGAAATGTTGTGTGGTCACTGAACTAATTGTCTTTTCTGAACTATACACATAAAACACACACACAAAGAGAGCATTGTTTTTTTTATAATTCTGCGGCAAATGAGGGTTTTTGTCATAAGAGAAGACTCCCCCCTTTTCATTAAAAAGGTCTTCAAAATATTGCCTCTGCGGCAAGTCACAACATGACACCGTAACTTTGAAACACGTGCCATCTTGGATTGCCGTTGCTACGAGCAATATTCACAGGAAAACGAGTCAAGGACAGAAATAAGACGCGAACCATTTATACGAGCTGTTTTCGTCTTAGATAAGACGTACTTGTATAAATGGTACAGTTCGCGTCTTATGTGCGTCTTGTTTTTCCTCATATAAATGGCCCTACTAAGTCGGTATTATGATTGATCTTATCACCCTAAGGACTGTTACTTTGTCTTCACCCTCGCTCCAGGACATTTGTTTGACCGTGTCCGCGTTCTCAACAAAAGCAGAATACGGGGTGTTTTGTAATGTAGGTTGACTAGGTCGTGGTCGGCTGGCTCCGTTTTCGTTAGAGCCACGCCTCATCTGTACATGTTTGAAAAAGAATTGATAAGAAGGGTTAAGGAGATTCGGTAGTTTTTCATTGCGAATCGCAATCTGCGCATATCGAAGAGAAGCGTTAATGAAATTTTCGATGGCAAGTTAGACAGTAGGCGTGTTGCAGAGTTTAACTTAGCCTGTTCCACGCTTCAAGATAGTGGGGAAAAGGGATGGAAAAAAAGTGCGAAAAACCGTTCGCTCGCTTTTGCGCTGCTTGCGCGCTTCTTTCGCTTCTCGTTCGCTTTTTTCGCTCACCTACTCTGACCGAGAGCCTGGCACAGGCTAAGTTTAACTTACCCACTAGCGCTAGCGTTGGATCAGTGCACTAAGCTGAAACACTACAACTGGCATTTAAGATCGGTCTTCAATCACATTGCCTCCTTATCACGATATCTCGCAATCCCTTCCATAACTTATTTTTTCCAAGCGCATGCGATTATGAAACTCGGCCCAATCTTCGTTCGAAAATCGGACGAAATGCAGATAGTGCGCATTTTCTGTAACTAAACCGCAATAGCGAGTACGGTGAGCCCTAATTTTCAATAATTTTCATGTTTTAACAAAAAGATGTTTCAGGAAAGCAAAAGGAAAACTTGGTCAAAATCTAGATCTAGATCTATGGTCAGCCTCTTTTTTTAAAAAACTAAACTATTGGTATGGACTTGAGCTATAACGAGACCCCACGAACAGCACATTTATGAATTTGACTACAGTGGAAGCTCTCCTAACAGACGCTCTTGTAAACTGACAACTCTACTTACGGGCCGCCTTTACAAAACCCCGTTTTTTCAACTCCCATAAAAAGTCTGTATTTTTGCATTCCCGTAAGCGGCCAGCTCACCGGCATTTTCCGCTTCCTGTGGGAGTCCGCTTATGAGAGCTGCCAGTGTAATTAATTGGCAATAGGTATTGCGGATTTGTGAGTCAGGCACTGAGGTCCCGTACTTACCCTTCACCCATGGAGGACCTCCTACGATAAATATCCCACCCTTTTCATCGAAGAAAAGTTCCAAACACTTAACGGCAGTAGCTCCAAACGTAGTAGCAATGGTAAACCGGTTGTGTCTACCGCGTAAGAAGTTGACTGGCCTGAAGAGGAAAAAACCTTCCCTCTTAATTAATAGATACTTTTGTATATAGATACTTTATCTTAATGGCCCAAAAAAGACGTTTTTTTTTTTTACTTATACCCTTATGGGACACTCCCAATAACTGCCTATACAGCCAGGATCTAAAGGCTCCTCACGAAAGAGGTACCTAATTCAGGCTTCAGGAATATGAAAGGGCGGGGAAATTAATAAATTTATACTACTACATGAAAAATTACTGCAATTTGATTGGCTAAGAGCAGTGGTATTTCAGCTTAATTTGAAATACCTACATGTGAAAATTACAAACCTTTTGAGGGTAGTAGTAAAAACAAATAATAGCATGATTTTTACGTGATATTTCGCATGAATACCACTCGTGATATTTCAAAATTGTCTCAAATTTCACTCGCCTAACGGCTCGTGAAATTACGTATAACAATTTCGAAATATCACTCGTGTTATTTATGCCAAATATCACTACAAATCATACTATTACCTATACTAATAATTTAGGTATGTTACTTAAGGTCATTTGATTAAAATGTCACGAAAAGACAGTGCATGCGCGCCTTCGGCTACATAATTATAATTTATTAAACATTATACGAATAATGACAGGAAAACTTCCCATTCTTCTGCTTCTTTTTCTTGTTAAGTATAAGGTACGCTAAGTGGAATCATTTTTCAAAGGAAGGTTACGGGGAAAAATTAATGGTACATCTTTTGTCAAAAATGGGGTTGGACCTCTGGGCAGAGCCTCTCCATAAAAGACTTTGTTACGTAGAACATCAGGGATTGTCAGGGATAGTATAATTGTTTCTGTATCTTTCAGCACCTTAAAATAAAACTTACGTCAAGAGACCAGGATATCCATTGCAGTATTCAAGTTTGAAATGTTTTCTTCGCTTTAGGCACGCCAAAAGTATAATAATGGCAAGCTAAAAAGAACAAATGTTGAATCCTTAATTACATCTTTGAAGTAATTTCGGTAGCTTTTCAAAAGTGTAATATGGGCAATGGTAAAAAAGAGGCAGCCTCGTTCCGGGGTTCACTCCTACCCATCACTACGGAGAGAGATCCTGGGAACGAGGTTGAAAAAGAGAGATGGAAGAACAAAGGATGCTTACTGTATTCAAGAAAAAGAATAAAACAGAAAAGATGAAAGTGAAAGGTGCAGAAAACTGGAATTAGAGATATACGCAGGACTTAAAATTTAACACTCTAAGCCAGTGCTTTTGTAGCTTAATGTGTCAGGGAGGCTTGTATTCATGTGCCCACTTCTGCTACAACTAATATGTATCAGCATACTCTTCTGAATAATTCAATACTTCAATATATTCTTTTGAGCAGATCATTTCGTTTTTCCTCCACAATCCCATAATCCAAAACTACTGAAGATTCCTGCTAACTACAATCCTGGACAAAAGTCCTTGGGACAGTACTGCAATATGCATATTTTTCTGTCACTTCTCGGTTCCCTCTTAAAACAGTGTATCATTTTCGAAATTTTCTTGCAGTTCTCCCTCCCCCAACCCTATACAAAGTTGAAACTCGGAAAAATTTCTAGATACGCGCGTCCAACATTGTTTGTGGGGTGAGGGGAGGAGTTCGACCTGTGTGAATTGGAAAATGGCCCAGAAAGTGTCCCAACACTTTTGTCCATGATTGTAGCTTTCGTAAGGCATTAAGGGGTGCTGCTGAGCAATTAAAGCCCAGATATAGTCTTGTTTAGGCGCAAAATAAGCCTTGGATTAAGTACCTTTTTCCCAAGCATGTAAGTCCTGTTTAGGACACAAGATTGTAGCTAGCAAGAGCCAAGACAAGACAGCCAACCACCACTCTCTCTCCCCCGCTACCCCCGCTTAACAAAACAAAGGCCAAAAATACCAGTGGTACTTTCTTTGGCCATGCCCCAAGACTCCCTTAGCAGCTCAAGCCTTCAGTTATCAGAGATGTGGTTGCTTACCATTTCATAAGATTGTGGAATAATGATAAGTGATTTACCGGGGTACTGCAAATTTGCCTTTTCCCAACAAATATAGACATATATGCTTTACCAAATATGTGTAGAGTGAGACTGGAATCAAGAGTAAATGTAAAATTGGAATTCCACCCCAAAACTAACCTTACAATATTATTAACCTTTGGTGCAAAATGTTTTTCGATTTTTGGGTTGATGTCATGGCAAGCACCCCTTGTTTCTGAGCTCTTGGATATGTTTGCATGTAAAAATTAACCATTAATTTTGGTTTAGACTAATACCATGTCCTGTGGCGGTGTTTGAGGGAGTGAATATATTAATACTTACAGCAGGACCAAGGCATCCAAGTTCGAAGATCCTTTCATTTATGGCTGGAGTGCACCTATTCAAGAAGCCATTTTACAGTTATCAGATTGAAAGAGATAACTCCGGAAAGAGATCGAGCAGTTTGAAATTGATTTTCCAAAGCCATTTAAGTTGGTCAAATTGTAAAATATTAAACACTAACCCCAGACAAATTTTTGGAGCACTACCCAGTAAAGTAATGAAAGCAACCACTCCCCAAAAGTAACAACCTACCCCCACCAACAATAAATGCAAAGAAGATCATCCACATGACAGCTAGAGATGTAACCTACGTAGTTGTTATATTTTTGCAACCTATGTAGTTGCAAAAATAAAGGACAAGATTCTAAGCAGTAGCCTGCGAACGGCAGACGTTTCTCCTTGCTCATCGCACTCAAAACAGTTGCCCGCTCCCTCCCCCTGACCCGTGACCTCATTATTTCCCTATTTTCTGCCCCACCCTCCCGCCTCAAAAACTTCATTTCTGCACAATCTGCCGTCTCAATATCAAGTGCACCTTGCTTTTATAAAAGGTTGCTAATTGCGGAAGTTAAACATCCGAACGTTAAACGGTGTTTCTCTAGCGGCGAAAGGCGGAATGCATCTAATTAATGCGAAAACTAGCATTTTGGTTTTTCACGGCTTAATCAACCCAATGTACACAATGTAATTTTAACTAACACATTTTAATCAAATCAAATTAAAGAAGACGACATGTTACAGCGGTGATCATATTGGCGTGAACACCTAAAATATGTCTGGAATGTTTATTGTGATGTAACCAATCACAGACGAGATCATCACACCACAGAAACCATAGGCAACGAACGGTTTCCTATCTGTCACGGAAGAAATTATATTTTCATTTTGTTTTAACCTTCAGTCTTTTTACAAGTAAACAATTACTTTTCCTTCTTATTTGTTTACAGTATTTGCTATAATAGCGAAGAATACAGGTTTGAGCGATTTTGAAATAAATTACAAAGCCGATGTGCCGGGCCTACGCACGCGACGGTTTGGCGCGCGAGTTTTCAAACTTTTTGTAACGATCGAAATCGGTAGTTACGCCTGATCGTAGGTAGTAGATTGTAGTTCGAAGGTTCAATCGTTCTTGGTTCACACAAATCGAATCCCCTTGTTCTACAAAAAAATATTAGCAAGGATTGTGCTATCAGAAACGAAAACATCACGATTGTTCATTTTTTATTCTCTTCACGTGATATGTCGTTACATGGAAAGCTTGTCGCCGTCGCGTCGCGTTGGCTTCTAAAACTTTTCTTTCTAATATCGAACGATGTACTGGATGTGGTCCTCGGCACTGATCTTGGGGAACAGCGGTGTTTTAAAGTCCTAATAAGGCAGTTTGTATCCTTAAACAAAACGAAAATAATTGGTTCCATGACCGATCGGAAACCGTTCGTTGCCTGTGGGCCGGTTTCTGTGGTGTGAAGATCTCACCTGTAATTGGTTGCAACACAATAAACATTCCAGACGTATTTTAGGTGTTCACGCCAATATAATCACCGCTGTAAAAGGCTGCTAATATTGGAAGTAACAAGGAACGTTATTTTTGGAACTTTAAACAGTGGTTCCCTTGTGGGAAGTGCGGAATGAAAACTCGAAATTTGATTTTTCACGGCTAAATAAACCCAATGTACGAATTTTAACTAAAGCATTTTAAGTAAAAGAAATTAACGAAGACGACATGTTAAGATTTACTCCCAAAGAAATTGAATGATGTCTTAGCACTGACTTTTTGGGAATGTAAAAACACACACGCTCGTGTTTCGTTAAATATTAAAACTTTATAAGGCAATGTAGAGACAAACACGTTCACTTGGTCTTTAGACTATAGCAGTGATGCGTTAAACCATTAAATTATTGCCGGCGGGGGATTTTAATTCACCTCTAATTAAAATCTCTACAAGAATCGAGGTTTCAATCACCTTTATCAGCTAGATAAGAAAGAAAAATGAGAAAAAATGCTGTACCTTTTAAGCAACATTGAAATTCAAAACAAACTATTTACACTTACGTTACGGTTGTGTTGGATGAATTATTTGCTGAGATTGCCGAGGTGCCCGTGGCCATTTCTTTACTGATAATACCGTATCTGCAGTTCAGGCGCTTTCTCACATTTGAACACGGTGCCTTTTTCGTCCAAACCTTCGCACACGTTTCGTGAGAAAGCGACTTTGGAAGATTTTACAATCAAACCAAACTCAGAAGGGATAAAAGAAGCGAAATTCTCTTCGCTTTTTGTTTTGACTGTCGCGCAGCATGCAGCGGCGACGACATCTGGACTAGGAACGAAGTATCACGTGTCTTTGTCCAGTAACGCAAACACTGATTATGGATTATTTATTCCAAGTAACTCTTTCAGCTTTTTGCAAAGTAAAAATCATCATAAGTTATTTTTAAAGGTCTTTCAAAAGAAAGGAACTATTTTAGGGACGGACCATTAGAAAAGTTATGGGGGGGATTTTCGAGCTGCAAGAATTTTTTTTCGTTACCAAATTCTTTGCATGAATTTTATTTAGGCCGTTGCATAAATATTTTTTAGGGTTAATTGGCGTGCATGAATTTTTTTTTCATTTAATTTTCCCTTGCGCGAATATTTTTTTTGTACTTCGCCCGCCCCCCCATAAGTTTTCTAATGGTCCGTCCCTTAAGAAAACAGAATAAGAAAGGTCTGGTATTGTGACTTTTTTTTAACGTTTTCGTTTAGTCACGCGACAGGTCGAACGTTACAACAGAGAATATGTTGCGGCATGTTCTGTAAAAAGTTAAAGCGAATGGGTTTAAACTCAGTCGTTGTTTCTGTTCTCCTAAAAAAAACAGTCAGCTTAAATAGAAATACTTGGCCTCGTCAACCGGTCGACTCAATCGCTAGAGGCAATCTATGCTAGTCGTTGGATTGCTAAAGTATTCATTCGACAAGAGCTGCTTTTGTTTGATATTAACACGGGCAGCCCAAGCGCACTATTTGTGGGTTCGGGCTTCAGAGGTCATTTGGTGGGAATATACTAGAATTATTAGTGTATTATCTGATGCCAAATAAATACAAAAAGTCTTAAAGATATGAAGTCTTCTTGTTTGTCTATCGGTACTAGTAGCCTTTAAGATAACGAAAATCGATATTTCTTGCATTATTACATGTGATTCGGGCCCTTTCTTTCCATCGAGTACTGATATGTGTTCAGTACTCGATGGAAAGAAAGTCGACTAAACGGCGTTTAAACCAGCCGTAGGACACAGAGTGGCTATGAACGAAAGGTAAGGGAGCTTTTTGAATCAATATTTCGCGTGATCATGATTTTTTTTTCCCTTAGCGTTGTAGATTCGAATACATGTGATAAAACTCGATCAATAAGGGCCCGAATCACATGTAATAATGCAAGAAATATCGATTTTCGTTATCTTAAAGGCTACTAGTACCGATAGACAAACAAGAAGACTTCATATCTTTAAGACTTTTTGCATTTATTTGGCATCAGATAATACACTAATAATTCTAGTATATTCCCACCAAATGACCTCTGAAGCCCGAACCCACAAATAGTGCGCTTGGGCTGCCTGTGATATTAAAAATAATGAGTAATGTAGCCAAATCTTGTCCTCTCATTTTGTGGAATAAAGTAAGTTAACCTGCAAATAATTGCAACAGGAGATATAGGAAAAAAATTCCCAACTGTTTTTAACCCAGACACCTATCCTCACTAACATATCAAAAGTCTCAAAAAGTCCCATTTGGGGTAGTTTCTTAAAAACAGGATTCTCAGCATGGGATTTTTTTAAAAAATGTTTTAAGATTTTATTTTTGTTTACTGTAACTGTATATAGTCCTCATTTAAGATTAACGTTTAGTATGAATTATTAATTTTAGAGTATTTTAGTATAATTGTATAGTTTTTATTAGTTTTATCATTTTAATTTTTATCAGGGTCCCAACTGATAGCAGTGTCTAAGGCGTCTGAATGGGCTACCCTGATATGAATAAATAAAGGTCTCTCTCTGATAGCGAACGTGGCCTATTGAGAGGATCCGAAACCTTTCAAAGATAGACCCTCTTTTATTGTAGAGCAGAGGCTAACCGAAGACCGTTCGCACCATATAATAGAATCCGTATTCCGGAATCCGGGAAATTTTTTTGCTTATGGAATCCGGAATCCTGGGTTTTGGAATCCGGATTACAGCTCAAGGAATCCGGAATCCCACTAAAGATCCAAGAACTACAACTGAAAAATACTGGAATCCAGTATCTGGAATCCGGAATCCAAAGCGTGGATTCCAGAATCCAAGACTGTCCTGGGTCACCTTAGATGGGGCGAAAAGGTTTTAGTTTATCGCTTATCCTAAAGGCGTGTTTTGGTAATAAAATCCGGTAAAAACGATAAACTTGGGGAAAATGTTGCAGTAGCTTCAATGTTTTTATGTTTCAGTGCCGGCTATCCGCCTGAGAAATTATTAAATACTCAGTTGGGGGCCATTTAACGTTCATCACGTTCATCGTCGCGTGTGGATTTTTTTATTGATAGCTTACAACAGCGTGTTGCTGTTTTCGCGGAAATGTTTTCTGTGCATTGTGTGTTGATTTTAATGAGAAATTTAGATAACTGAAGAAATTATAAAACAAAGTTGATCAGCGCTTATGTGGAAGGAAACGAAGGGGAAAACAGAATGGTAAGAAATGGCTTAAGACGTGAGTCGCAGATTAGATTATTTTAATTTTTTTCTTCTATTCAGTAACTTTTACATGTATAAGTCCACCGCAGCTCATCTCACCATTGAGTCAGCACGTTATAATGACAGATTATACCACTTCATCAAGAAGAGATCGAGAGCGTTTCGAAGATGATTCAGCCTACTTTAGTACTGGATGTATAGTATATCTAAATACATATAAACCTGGTTTTCACTATTTTGTTTCAAAATTTGCAGTCATCTTCTAAGATGAAAATTGTGAGAAGAAGGGGTATTAACGTCAAACAGCCACAGTCGGGTTGATGGAATAGAATTTGCTCCAGAAAATTGCGTGGTCCCGAAGTCCAAGTCCAAGTTGGGCCCTGATTGGTAGGGTTAGAAAATGGAGGGGTGGCCATCAGAGAATGTTCTGTCGTTGAGACTCATCCATTTTGGATCAAAAAATGGATCGATTTATGTTTCTGGGAAACAGCCCACCTACCCCTCCCTTACGCCAATATTAACACTTGTTTCCTTTTGCTATTTTATTGTTTAAATGCGTATAAAAAAGCATATTTAATAATTACTGAATGAGGCTGAGTATATGTCTCAAGGATGTATGATTTGAGGAATTGACGCAGATCGAAATAATAGCCTCCGAGATATTTTCTTCCTATTGCTTTAAGCAGTAGTTTCTATTTTTCCCTCAATTTGGTGGACAGTTCCCAGTGACTGAATTTAGTGAAAATTGATTTCGTCGACGCAGCTCCTTTAAGATCTGAATAAGAAAACTTTTACTGAGCCAGTTACGCCAGAGCTCTAACTTTTTCCTGTTGCTGGCAAGTTAACAATGTTACAAGTGATTATTTAAAGAACACGAAATAATACGATATATTTCATCTATTACTAGCAAAAAAATTTAAAGACTCCTTATAGTGAGTTGTCTCTAACCACGAGTAAAAAATTGGTTGAAAAAAACAAAACGTATCACCGCAATCAACAATCTTACTTAGAGTCAAGCAGGCACAAGTTCGCTCAAGTCAGTGCGGATACTCCTGAGGCGAACGGAAGTTGCACGACTTATACCAATCCGCTTACGATATTTGATGAGACACGGGTTACGAAGCAGTGTCATAGTCAGATGCCAGCGATTGAATGCCTTTTGAGACATACGCGGAAGTCTTCGCTCACGAGTATACACTGCAGACGAAAAAAAGAACAGAATTAGCTGCCTATACACGGAAGAGGTGAGGTTTTTTTACAATTGTAGCGTCACTTCCGGTTGACGTGCGTCGCTCAATAACGTCTTTGCTCACCCCCTCATACAAACCCTCGACTAACATACGTCAGAACGGACCCCAGTATAACGTAATCCATTTTAACATACGGAGCGAACATCGCGGTAACAAAACACGTTTTGCTCGCAGACGAGTTTGTACCGTATCGTCCTAGACTGTTGGCCTTCCATTCTCTACATGTAAATGCGATGAAATGCATTTACCTTGGGTTTTCACTGTCCAAACTGCAGTCATTCTTGTGAAAAATATATTTGAACTCATGTTTAATAAGGCTCAAAGGTTTAAATAATAAAAATTCCCTTAGTGGCGTGTGTGTTCCACGTGGCCTAGTGATAACGCTTTCGCCCGGTGCACCGTAGGGCCTGAGTTCGCACCCGGGCAGTACCTTTTTCTCTTCGCTTCTTTTCTTTTCTTTTCTTCTTTTTTTTTTCTTTTTCTTTTCATTTAGTTTCCATTTTGGGTATAACAGTTTTGTTATGTTTCTGTATATAGCTCACAATTTTTGATTGACAAATTTTCTTCTCCGCTTTACTTGCCGTTCCTCCCAAGTCCTTCGCGAGGTCCTGCGATTTACGTATTTCTAGTAACGTATTGAATACGGGCCCGATTTAAAGTGTCCAGGTAATGATGAAGCTGCTTGTTTCCCCAGTCTCTAATCGCATCTCATTACAGCCTGCTAGCAAGCACTCCACTTGGGGAAAAGTACATGCACGAGTGCACGCGAGGAAAGACGAAACAGCAGGAGGCGGGGGAGAGAAAAGAGAGCTTGCAACGATTTCTCATGAATTTTCATTTCCACCCCGGAAACCCCGAGACACTGCAAAGCGTGAAAACTGTCACCACAAGCGCGCCGTTCAATGGTATCTCGCTTCGTCTAGACGAAGTAGAAATGAGAATTTATGAGAGATCGTTGCAAGCTCTCCTTTCCTCCGCCTCTCGCTCGCTCGCGCGTACCACGGCTCGGTTGGCTCGCTTCGCTCGCCCAAATGGAGAGCTTGCTCGCAGGCTAATCTCGTTATGTCGGGTTAAGGTTCTACTGTTCATATAATGTTTCAAATATTCGATGGATTTAACAAGGTTAACAAAGCACATACCAGAGGCAACCCCAGTTTCCTTTGAACAATCGCGGTTCTCAGATTGAGCACCTGCTGGAGATTCCGAATTAGGCAGGTGAACTTTGTCCCTGTTTATCAGTAGCTGACAAAACAAAAGCATCACGGGATGGCTCTGAGCAACAAGCAGGTTGATAAAACCAAGGTAAGCAACAAATGCTGTAGAAGAGAAGGATAAGAATGTGAGATTGAGGGAGACTGGAACCTCATGGCAAGCATATGCCAGTGAATGAACACACTAAAAGGCAAAGATCTTTTAATCCTTTCACTGCCAAATGTGGCCAAAGGCAAGTTTCGACCAAGTTTCCAAAACTTCATTTTCCAAAATTGTGAGAAACAAATAGCATCATGTGAAAGTACAGGCAGAGAGCTTTCATTTGAGTGGTCACATCATAGGATTTCGTCCACAGACTCAAACGTTAGAGTCACCTTACAAAACTCCATCAAACACTCTAGCAGTGAAAGGGTTAAGGCCTTTGTTGAATGATTGGATTGCAACTTTCGTCGGTTGTTAACAAGTTACACTCTTTTGAGAACGGAGAGAAACGGTTTAGGAAGGAAGTAGCCTGGCCATAGACGTTTTTTTTCGACAATCAGACAGTGCGGCCGCGCTAGAGCAAGCACGGAGCACCCGCTGGCGCTTGGGGTGAATAAATCCCCCGCGGTTTTTATTTCCATACGCGCGCTCGACGATCTGTCGATAGAAAATACGCGCGCTCGACGATCTTTAAAAGGAAAAATCGAGGGTCTGTGAACAGCCCAGGGAGGAGGATGATAAAGTGTCGAAAATATAAGAGAGGAGGGAGAAATCAGGCGATAAAGAAGGGATGAAAGGGAGAGCAAAAAAAATAGGGACGTATGACATCGATATTATCTAATGTTTCTTATGGTCTCTACCGCGATAATCGCCTTCACCGTGAACTGGCTAGCCTGTATCTTGCCTGTTGTAAGTTATATCTGGCTTGTTTCATATTTTAAATGCAAGTAGAATAAAAATTATCATAGCTACGGAAAACCGTGTACAGTTTAATTTTCCCCTTTAAAGATTTCAACATGCCTCGGTCAAATCTTTGAAATCCCTGCATCAAGGTCGACCGGTCTATACGTGCCAGGAATACAACTCCTAGAACTATACCAAAGATGATGCGAAGAAAGCCAGAAAACAATCCGACCAGAATGTTGAAAAAGAACAAGAAGTATGACATAATCGAGAACAAGCGTCTGCAAAATAAATTAATCAATCAATCAATCAATCAATCAATCAATCAATCAATCAATCAATCAATCAATCAATCAATCAATCAATCAAATATATAAATAATTATTGAAATAAATAAATTAATAAAAGAAAGGGGTGGAAGGCAAAAACAGTGATAACTGTCAGCCTTTTGCCTCGTAGTCACTTACGGTAGGTTGAACTGTTTTTACAAGGTTCAAGAACCAAACGAGAAGACGTAGTGAAGACGGCAAATACCTGTTATCCACAGTGATGACAATCCTGGGAAAATCTCTGTCGCGGAAGACACAGTGGGAAAGAAACAATTGAAAGAGATGAAGGGCAGCGGCTATGATAAGTGCATACCTGAAGTCAGTAAAACACAAAAAGTTCAGTATTACACTACATAATTCAAGTTGTAGCTTTAGAAGTTTATTCAACTAAACAGGGACTGTCATTGGTTAATTCGTAGTCACGTGGCCTTGACTGAATCTAATTGCATCTCGTTTGTGATATAATTCAGCAATTGTAGCCACTCAAGATGCAACAGCACGTGTTCAACATAGTGACGTGAGAGAAGGCAGGAAAAACCGACTGCTAGTTACTTTCGTGAATGAACACAATAACAAAAAAAATGGAGCCTCAAGCTAAAAGCAACGATTTTTGAAGATATCCCTCGAGTCCTGATGTTTCCTTCAACTTTGTCTTGACTGTGTCACGGTTTTTCGGCAACTACAACAGCTACAAAAACTGAGAAAAAGTCGCTTCTTCCCCTCCAAATTGCATGACCTCATGCCACCTATGACGTCATAGTAACTTAAATGTAACCATAGTAACCAATTTTGGCCAGACTTGGCAATAATCAGGCGCTAAATGAATTAAAGAGTTGCTCCTAAGGAGAGGAGGTTTGACAACGTATTATAGCGAAACAATGCAGAGATTAGAGACCTTTAGCATCAGGCAAACCGCAAACCGCAGTTTGCAGTTTGGAGTTACGCGTTTGCATTTTCGGGTTGCCGAGATTTCAAATTTTAGCAAGGCGTTCGGTTCAGTTCAGTTCAATTTTATTTGGCCAAAATATATTACAATACAAAAACACATAAAGGAATTGTAAGATTGCAAGGGAGCCCAGAAGAAACCAGAAGGCTTATGAAGCCTTGGCTCCCAAGTCTCAAAGAAATAAGCAAAATAAAATGAAATTCGCGGAGTGATACGTTAAAAATAGGAACTAAACAAAGACTGAGTTAAGTTATGAATTCAGTAACAAGATAGAAAAAAAAAATTAACTCTGGATTGGAAAAGAATACTTTCTTTTGTTAGTACGGCAGAAAGGAATATAAAATCGATTTGAATTTAGGGCCGCCATGTTGTTTTAATCAATTCGAAGTGCATCACTTTAATCGCCCAAAAATCAGCAATTATTCATCGATTCGAGATCAAAAATCCAACAAACACATCGCAAACGGATATAAAAAGCTAGTTCATACCATTAAACGCGAGACTGTACAATTTTTTGTGGCAAAAAACTTTGCCGTAAATCACTTGTATACCCCTGGAAGCCCTTCCTGCGGTTCAAACGTGAACTGCAAACTGCAAACGTGACCGCAAGGCCGTGGTCACGTGACATTTTGTGGTTTGCGGTTTGCAGTTTCTCATGAAAAACCTGATGCTAAAGGTCTCTAATAAAGTAGGGAGCAGCATCGACTTACACCCGAGGATGAAAATCAGGATAACCTAAGCACTGATCGCTTATGCAGTGCACGGTACGCAAAGCGAAGTATAAACCTAGAAAAACTCATCGAAAGATTCATTCGCAGTGTTTAAAGATGTGCGGCCCAAACAAGGAACAAATTTTACTTACATAGCTGATTCCACTTTTTTTTTTAACCATTCATACCATGGTTTGGGAAGGACATGTTCTGCATGCTTAAAATAAAATACAGGACCAAAAAGAACAAGCCATAGAAGAAATCCCATCGAGAAATATCCTGAAAAAAGAAAAAAGAAATCACACACTCAGTGAAACCTATCATAGAAGACCCCACATTTAGCGAACACTAGCGACCGTAAGTCATAAACTTTATCCCTAAATTTTTTGAAAAACGATTCTTTTTTCAACGGGATAACCCTCTTAACCCTCTGTTAAGCGGACACCATAGCGGTCAGTCCTGTGGATTTCAAGTCTTCTAGTCAGCCTTTCCCTGTCCCGTCTCGCAACGCTCATCAAATAACTTTTATGGGGTCCGAGATAGTGGTGGAAAAGGGCAAGTGAAAGGCGATGTGGGCACTTTCTACATGTTCTAATCTGACCTGAAATCATAAACATCTATACAAAGTAGTGAATGTGATTTTAGGGAGTTTTAGCATCGAGGACGGTGACGGCCGCGAAAACGTCACTTTTGAAATAAATTCGCGTCTTTTCAAACTCTGTCGCGTTAATTCCAGTTCACTGAAAATGTCTAATGTAGGCGAATTTCCCTGGAGGTGATTTCTTGGGAACTGCACTTAAGTTTAGAAAGAGAAAGAGAAACTCGTCATTGCTTGTTTACGGCCTCCTCCATAAAACGTGCAATTAGGCACTTTCATCTTTACTTGACGTACCGTACATAGTACGTCACCATAGAAACGTAAAGCCTACTTAACACACTCTTATATTATCGTTAAGTGCTTGTAACACGAAAAAAGGTCAGCGACTCCCATTTTTAAAATGCGTGTTGAGACCCACTTTAAGTGTACGTTCCACTCTATGGAATAAAACCCTCAGCAGTTCGTCCGTATGCGACCAGTTGTTTTCTTTTACTCTGAACTTAAACAATTATGGAAGTGAGGAAATGAACAGGTCAATGGATTACAGCAGATTTCCCCCATACGAAGAAAGAAATACCAGATGCCCCTACTAAACTTACTAAAGTTATGTAACTCCTACCATAAATTGTATAGGCAACTTGATATCCTGAGAATCGAAGACTTCCTCCCTGAAAATAAAAGCGTGCAGCTAAAAAAAAATACAACAACAACAAACAAAGAAACAAACAGACAGAAACAATTATGAGTACCCCTAAAGGAAGACCTTCACTTGAATTCTTATTGAATATTTTTGACATGCGCTTTGGAAGACTCGTGGAGAGTCGGGCTATAGAACTAAGTTCAAATGCCGTGAGTGGAGACTGTTCTATCCGAATGTATGCTGAACGACTGCCTACAAACTAATTAATTTGAGTAATATAACTAGTGTTAAGCGGCTTAGTGGATGAGAATATAAAACGAAGTTGCATCAAGTCAGAAGTGAAAAACTTTGTTTTACAACTTGAAAGTATAATTATTTAAGTATTCACATCCAGCCACCCTCTCACTTTAAAGATCAAATCTGTTGGCCATCAGAAAATAGTCTAAGTTTTGTGAGTGAAAGATTAAGACAAACCTGACAGTCACGATCACTCACAGACCATCCATCCATAACAGCAAAATACAAGCAAAATACAAATTCAAGAACTTTAATTATTTGAATGATAATAATAATAATAATAATAATAATAATAATAATAATAATAATAATAATAATAATAATAATAATAATAATAATAATAATAATAAAGGCTTTGTTGCATTACCTTCGCCATCTTAAGCTAATTAAAGGACTTACCGCTAGTTTTGAGGGAGAAGGAAACACTCCTTGGGCAAACCTTCTTTGACCTCTATAAAGCTGTAGAACATGATCCCTGGTGTAAATAAGGAATCACCATTACTGTGCAAATCAAGTATAATTATGTGATAACTTCATGGATCGTGTTTGATAGACGATTTGTTGCTGCATTAATTACCATGCTGCCATGTACTTACCGTAAATCCTCTATTAAGCCCCCCTCTCAAATAAGCCCCCTTCTCCTTCCCCTTATTATCATTCACTGATAAATGATAGCCTACGTGTAGCCGCATCCTTCCCCCGACAAAGGAAAAACGTTTTTCCTTCGTCAGAGGGGGTGGGTGTGGCTACACGTAGGCTAATAAATGGTAGACTGTACGAATCAATCACTGACTGTCAGGAGTCTATTGTGACCTTAAAACTTCTTGTGGACTGATCCAGGATGGTTTATTCACCAGCTGGAAGCTCGAATTTGTTTTTGATCCTCGGCTGCATGAGCTCCGCTTGAGGTTTTGCACTTTGCATTCTAGCTGTTTTTTTTTTTTTTTATGGAAAAGTGATACCATCTTCTTTTTTTGCTAAATTGAATAAGCCCCCGTCTCTATTAAGCCCTCCGCCCCCTTCAAATGTGTTTTAAGTAAATAAATAAGTAAATAGAATGAATAAATAAATATGTTTAATCACCACATTCTCGCATTAAAATGAATTACAATGTGTTTATAATAAGCGAGAAAATTACAACAATCTTCTTGGGACTGGAGTTTACAATATAATAATCATTAAACAAAGTAAATTTAGTAAAATTAAAAGGATGTGGTTCAATCATAGTTACTAAAAAAAATTATACTAATCTAAAAACAAATCGTAAACTAAGAATAAAAATGTTGCGTTTGCCGTTAGGATAGCAATAGGCAAAAAGCTTCGCCTAAAACGCTCAGTTTTACACTTAAAAGACGTTCGAGAGTTTGAGTTTCTAAAAGAATAGTCATGGGCGTAAGTCCTAATCGGGGTTAGATGTTTTGACAAGGGCCCGCCTTTTGTAGTTTTATCAAAAGTCCTCATACAGAGTTCATCACGCCTGTCCTCAAGTCTATCTGTTTTAGCAAGTTTTAAGGCTTCCTGGTATGAAGATCGAGGGTGTATTACCCTTAAAGCACGCATTTGGACCCGCTATATTTCACCAGACAGATATGCGGGAAGGGCGTTATGCCAAACCACACAACGATACTCTAGGACGGAACGTACGAGAGCAACGTGGATATCAACAAGATCACAAGCGTTGATGTCACACTTAGAACACGCATAATGTGCAGACGCTTGGGTACCTTGGATACAATCATACAGATGTGCTCATTCCATTTCAGACTGTCCTAGATAACCAAACCTAGAAACTTGTGCGAGCGAACTGTTTCTAGTACTTTGTAAAGAGGATAGCTGAGGGGTCTCTTTAAAAAAACACGCCCGTAGCTCTTTACATTTTTCTGATTTTTTAGCATTAAGCTCCATCAAGATCATCCATGCCAAGGAACTGACAATGTCTAATGTAGACTGAATGGACGCACCCTTGTTCTTAGTGGGAAATTCCGAGATAGAAACATCGCCTACATACTTCCACAGATTCGCCTCAGGAGTAGCCTGTGTAGCAAGCGTTTCCTCGCGATTTCGTCGAGAAAGTTGGGACGAGAGCAAAAAAAAAAAAAGGAATGACTTTCGAGCAATAACTCGATTGGAAACGCTTGCTACGCAGGCTGCCTCAGGAGTGGGTCTAGATAAGTCATTAATCATGATGAGAAATAAGATAGGACCCAGTTTAGTTCCCTGGGGAACGGTACGTTAATCTATTTAATTAGCTACCCCTCTCTTTTAAAATCTACCTATTGCAAAGATTTGATTTTCCGTTTTCAAGCATTTGAAAGACGAAAGAAACATAATGATAATAATAATAATAATAATAATAATAATAATAATAAATCATATACCATTCAATTATATTTATATTTCCTTAACTCTCTTTGTTTAATATTGTATTTCAATCGGTAACACCATGTATAGAAATGATATTACTGAATAAACTTGTTGTTGTTGTTATTGACAATCTGTATTCATACAACCTATAATCTTGCCCTCACCGATGGCTCTTCATAAAATGCAGTAGCAATATGGCACTTATCATCGCTGACAAAACAAAAGCTCCTTGACACATGCCTAGAAATAGATACATCACGCTAAATTAAGGCCTTCTATGGTTGTGGACTAAATAACAGTAGAAAACTTTTAGTTGCAGGGCTCGAGTAGAGGTTTGTTGACGCGAGTGACCACTATCTGCTATCGCAACACAGACTTCACTTTACTTATAGGTGCAAAGATAATTTCGGCGTTCATTTTTGTTTTCACAAACACCGGGCTCATATTGGCATAAGATACATAGAAGAAGTTATAAATATTATTTTCGAGTCGTGAAAACAATATTTTACGAAACAGCGCAGCGAGTGAGTAAAATATTGTTTTTCACCCCTCGAAAATACAAATTATATCTTCGCGCCGCCGTGTAATATCCTCTATTTATTATTTGGACAAAAAGACTGGAATTTAATTTAAAGTTGACATATAACCTGGCGGCTAACACAATTCAGCAGTACATCCTGTTATAGCCCACAAAAATAAGTTTTTGAATTTCAAAATGGTCAGTGAAAATGTAAACTTTCAAAAGATGTAGATGCCAATAAAAACCTTCTTGACATCTCACTCCCAGGCGGCAGGAATTTCTTGAAGTTCTCTCCTTTCGTCTTTACTTATAAGGAACTCCTTGAATAACTTTAAGTCATACAAATTAAGTTTTCTTCGTCGTATTAACATTTTCCTCCTCCTCAGAGAGAGATTTGAAGTCAGCTTTAGATAAGTTCACGAATCAATCGCTAGTCATTTTGTTTTAGCATTTGGCAAACTGTACACAAACAACAGTTTGAGCGGGAAATGACGTCATTAATATCCTCACCAGTGAGGATAAGGAAAATACGCTACTCAAGTCCCGGATGTAGTTTCACGAGAGGTCTATTTTCCACAAAAACACTCTTGTCTATATAATAAATTCAATTACATTAGATAATAACAGTGAGAAAAGACAAGATGGGCCCCATCCACAAATTATTTGAAAACGGATAATTTTCCCTCCGGACAAGCCTTTCGTCCACACGTGTCCGATGAAAACGGTTATAGAAAAAGCAACTGTTTAAATGCTCTCCTATGTTGGAAAATTTTCAAATCGCCACCGCCGTGTGGACAGATGGTAAAAGAGGATTTTGGAAAAACGATGACACGACAGTATCTACATGGTTAACGCTTGGGATAAAATGCCCCACGGACACGTGATCTTTTTAATTCTATTTTGCCTGGGAGGGCTCAAAGAGCCCTATAGAACTCAAACAGAATCTACAACATTGCTATGAAACTGGACAGCTTTGTAGTACTTCATCAACTTGCCACTTATGATAACATTAGGAAGTCATCAGTTAAAATTGTTGCGTCTTTTACTATTTTCGATATATTTTAGCTTTAGTATCAGGCCTTCCTTACCTACAGAAACCTTGGGTGTCGCATCATGATCAAACAAAGGTTTCTCCTATTTATGTCATTTTTATGCACGTGGATGGGGAAGCCAAAAATTTTTAAAAAAGCTCACATTGCTTACATTTCAATTGTTTTATGCTACGGACTTTCCCGCGTAGTTGACGCAGTCTTTCGCTATATGCGCGGAGATTTGTGAAAACAAGGATTACAAAACAGAGGGTCAGGTTAGGCCAGGATGTAATGCTTGCAGTCATTTTGGAGTAGAGAGAGAATTTTAGGGTGATTGGAGGCCACTTCCACTGGTTTGAAACCACGTGACAAGAAGGCCAAGTTGCATGACAAAACAATACAAATTTTTTGCAGAATTTGCGTGAAAAAAGAAGTTCGGTTCCCAGCAGAGGGAAACACTTTAGCTATTGTCCGCCAACATGGCCGCCGTGACTTCAGAACGTCTCAGGAAAAAGATTTCCGTTTAATTACAACCTCTAAAAATAACTTAAGTGAAATTCACATCTCCTGGCCGACGCTCTAAGATTCCTTCCCTTCCCATTAATCTCTCTTGGCTCGACCAAACCAACTACATAAAGACTTACCGATGACACTTCATAAAGTGTAGAAGCAATATGGCGGATATCATCCAGGAAAAAATGTAGGCGGCCTGCAAGCTGCCTGTGAAAGCAGAGATTCAGGGGTCCAAATAAAACTGACTGGAAAACAACTATTTAAACAAAACACAAAAAGAAAAAAGGGTACATACAATATTTAACGCGCGGTTGCAGAAAAAGTATTTTAAAAAAGTTCTAGGCCAAAGCATATAAGGTACAACTCTCAGCGGAGAGAAAGACTGGTAGAGAGTATAACCATAAAAAACGGGGGAATGAAAATAACAGACGTTAGAGTGATTTTACTAAACCTGTGAAACAGTATGCATCAGGTAGTGCCAAATAAATGCAAGTAAACGAAAGAAAACAATAAAATCAGAGTTTAACGCTTCGTATTAGTCTACTATATATTTCACCGGTTAAGTAAAATCACTTTAATTGCTTAGACATTGTTTGACAATGAATAATTAACCTACAAGTTGCACAGAGTGCCATCCTTTTTATTTCTATATTGACTTTATACGAACTCCCTATGCTATTAACGAACCAAATATCACACCAAACAAATCCTTGCAGTTGTCATTACTACAATACTTCTTGGTCAAAGTCTTCTTGTAGACAGCAAATCGGCCCAGAAAACTCACAAGGAGCTTAAAGAGAATTTGCATCTTATGAGTTGTACAGTCGTCACTACTGGTAACCAAATTCTCCAGTCTGACTGGAGATAAGCAAAGCTAATTTAAGCATTGATTTGGACAATCCACGATCATTATTATTATTTTTTGTTCAGCTTGTACAAAAAAAAGTTGAAGAGTCCGAAAAAGGATTCATTAGCGTCGCCAATCGGGGAAAACGTCGAGGGCCTCTTTAAAGGCTTACAGGCAAAACGCTTGCCGGCTGTACTTTCTTACTTCCACGGGGCCAATAAGCACGCATGACTGCTAAAACACGCCTAAACTTGTGGATTGCTCATATTCGAAAATCAAATTTTTGATAAAACGCAAATATTAGTTTCTGAATTCAATAACCAGGATTTTTAGCCCTGAGTAATTGGACAGTACGTGTCAAATGGGACAGGAGAACTTAAATTGGTTCTTTCCTTGACTCGCTGTGGAAAACGTTTATGAAGAAACTTTCCTTTCTACGTTTTTAACGGTATTTAGTCTTGAACCCTGAAGAAGGCAGTATTGCCGAAACTTCGGTTAAGACTCTTTTGAACAGCGTCGATTTTACAATTTTCGAATTAACATAGTGTGAACAATCCCTTACTTACCTGAAATATAACTATTGCAGCAACCATCAACGTTGATATAAACTGCGTCGAGAACTTGAAATCTGAAAAAACACCAACATAATGTGTAAGGCCTTATTTTTTATAGGTAGATTTACTAAACGGAAACGCGGCGGCAGTGACGACGGCGGACGCAAACCACAAAGTTGGCTTGACCAATGGCAAAGTGAAAAATTAGGCACCGGAAGTCGCGTGCAGTCTTTCCGCCCGCCCGCTTCCGCGTCGATCAATTGCTAAATCACTCTGTTCAAATGAACTAAAGACATCGACGTGCACATTTCTGTGACTTTTCTATCAGCTTAAATTACAATTTGTCATAAAATCTCATTGGATTGGCAATTATATCATGTTTAATATTGTATCTGGAATATTACGTATACATTCTTCGTCAGCTTATGCATTTCGACGAATCGACATTCAGCATAGTGATATTGCAAAAAAAAAGACAAGTAAGGAAAGAATGGATTAATAATAAGGTTGTTCCGTCCTAGCCTGAGTAGCAGGTGTCGAAAGGGTTAGGAGATTGGAAGGAAGAGAAAAAGGGAGGGCGATTGGGGAGATAGCAAAAACTGTTTGAATGGAGAGGTCCACGCAACGCGTAAATATAACTGACTGGTTCCTCTTGCCGGATCTCTAATCAAAGAGTTGTTGTAGCCAGACGTCACTAGAAGTGTGAAATAAAACAAAACTCAATGCAGGGCTGGCACTACGGCAAAGGGCTGAGATGGGAGATGCTCTTGTCCTTTCGCGCTTCCCCTCTCCACCTCCCCTCCCCTTTTTGCGCCTGCCACACAAGCTAGGTAGATCCCTTTTATGGCTCTATGCTATTTTCGTACATCTATTGAAGTCTTATAAACAAGTAGTAAATAACCTTCGTATATAAAAAGTAGCCAATCAATGGACTAGTTATGTACCACGTGCCCGAACCAGACCAATGCGAAATTCAGATAGTGACGTTCCACTAGATAGAGCCTTCCTGTATCCCTTTGAGCAAAGGTACCAACTCGAGGCTCCGCTTTACAAAATAATTAAGTGACCTCTACCCAAGCCTCGAGATGTAGTTATGTACGTAATATTGTGACTCTCTATGTGTATTTCAACGAAATCGAAGTAATGACGATTGCTATTGATGAAACGTGGATCTTAGAGATTAAAGCGACGAATGCATTGCTATTTCTATAAAGTTTTACAGCGTTAGTAGTGTGATGAGGACAAAGAATCTTCCAAAAAGTGTACTTCACGATCAAAGTTATTTAATTGTGCTTAAACATGTTATAAAATCTGCTGCATTTTAAAATTTTTTCCTCGTTGTCATCGTCGTGGTTGTTCGAGCTCACTAGTAGGGTTATAACCCAAACAATTCTTGATATGTGACGATTTTTGTTAAATTCCGACGATTTGAAGGAAAACGCGTGACGAAAACGAAAGGTAGACACAGAGTGGCTCAATATTGCGTCATGACATAATCTCTTTTTCTAGCTGCATATCTCATCCACAAACAGAGAAAGTAGTGGGAATTTTAGTTTTTATTACCAGACTGTCTAATGAACTCAAACCTGCTCTTGGTTTGTAGATGAAGTGAATCAATCTCAAGTACCACTTTTCATTTGTATGTGTCCTGCCCCTGTCAAATGAAGAGATCATAAGGAAAAACAACTAAAAAAAATAGCAGTTGGTACTCCTGATTTACTTTAGTCTCTGCCGGGTTTATCAAACTTATTCTCAGCATTCTTGTCTCATTCGTTCAGTTCTTAACATCTCATCACAACCTGGGTTCTATCTAGCGTTTTAAAGGGGTAGAAGCTTTCCCCCAAAATGCTCAGCTTCCTCTCAAAAAAATATTGTTTTCTGATCATTACAGTGGATAAGTAACTATTTCGGAAAAATCATCCAGACGCGACGACGTCAGTGCACACACTGAAACATTTCTCAAATTGTGTCTCAAAATGCACCAGATTGCATCTCAGCGCATATTTATTTCAAAACATTTCTAGGGGGGCATGCTCCGGACCCCCTAGGAAGCTCGTCGCCTTCGGCCACACGGGACTTCTCCCCCAAAACGATAAATCCTAGACAGAACCCTGCCAATGATAAGAAGCCAGAGCATCTACAAATATTGAGAGAACGTTGTGCCCTTTTAAACAGAGGAAGCGAAAAGTAGCAAAGCCGAAACAATAGGCTCTTTGCGTGACTCGATCACGTGATCAACTTCGGTAAACACGTAAACAGTTCACTATTGAAAAATTTTGTTAGCACAAGCTGAAAGAGCATATTAAAATTAAGTAACTTTAGAATTTTCAGCTGTGTATCTCAAAAGTAGCAATTGTAACGGCCGCCGAAAGTTAGAAGCATTTGTATGAGAAAAAACAACTTTTGCCATCCAGTCACGCTTGCATGGTTTTCCATACAAATCCTTGTAAATATTTTCCTTACGCATTCAAGGGCTCAAATTGCCAGTTATGAATTAAAAGGAGATTTGAGCCCTGTAATGCTTAAGGAAATATGTCATGAAAATTTTGAAAATTTCGAAAGTACAAGGATATGTGTGGAAAATCATGCAAGCGTTACTGGATGGCAAAAGTTGTTTTTCTCATACAAATGCTTCCAACTTTCGGCGGCCTTTGCAATCGCTACTTTCGAGTTATACGGCTGAAAATGTAGCCTGTGTACAGACGTTCCCCCTCCCTCAGTAAAAATCGGGAGAGGAGACGTCATCTCCTCTCCCGATTTTTACTGAGGGAGGGGGGACGTCTGTACACGGGCTACTGAAAATGCTCAGGTTGCCTAATTTTAATATGCTCTTTCAGCTTGTGCTAAGAAAATTTTTCAAAAGTGAACTGTTTTCGTGTTTACCGAAAGTTGATCACGTGATCAAGTCATGCAAAGAGCCTATCAAACAACGCTGAAAACAAGATAGATGTGTGTCGTAATTCTTAAAACAGAAAATATTTCAAAGACTTACGAGTTTTCTCCGGGATAAAGGAGTTTCTTGATGTGCTCTACTCCAGGCGATTCTATTAGAATGGTATCACTGCATTCTCTATATCTCTGAAAAATAAAGTGTTAATATCGTAACTATTGGATTAATGAAAAAGTCTTTCCAGGTTTATTCACTTATGGATATTACATGGGTAACTTTTAGGGAAACCCTTAGCTTTCGACGGAACTCCGGGAGAACGAGCGAGCGAGCGGCGAAGCCCCTCGCACTCGCATGTCCTTTCGCCTGCTGCTGTCGTGTGACTTGTCGTAAGTCGCAACTCCCTCAAAAAGAGAGTTTGCTTGCAGGCTAGGAGACTCGTGGACTCGTCTCGATAGTAACCGTGAATTCTTAGTTTTATTTACTTGGGGCGTTTAATCCATTTTGCGATTACTTTTGAAACAAACTTTAAGAGGTCCGAAGAAGGAAGGTTTTAAACCGATTGAATACATCTTTCCATCGTTGTTGCTGTTGTTGGTGTTTCCATTGTTAAGAAAAAATGCTATTTGCCACTTCCAAGCTTAAGAGATTTTGATCTCACGATTTTTGGTTATATACTTATGGCTGAATGAATTTAAGTGGATTTCGTAAACGTGATATAGTTATACTTTAAGCAAAGAAATATTATAATTGTCTTTGAATCATATCAATCTTGACACGACTTGAGGGCTTTATATTAGCTTGCAGGAAATGCGTGAGGAAGTGAAAAAAAGTCCGATCTGACTGGGATAAAACGCCTTCCGATAATGCTAGAAAGTAGAAAGTGTTAGAATTTCTTGGCCAAGCGTTCAACTTGTGAACTATTCATTTTTTGCTGTCCAAACAGTTGCTAGACTGTTCACAGTCCTCTATTTTCCCGTAAGATCGTCGAGATCGAGCGCTTTGCGTTACGGGCTGCCATCTTGCATGAGTGTCAAACCTACTTAGGTGGCGGGGGCGGTTTGGAAGGCGGTTTTTTCTCGCTCCCCTACCCCCTAGAGCGGTACATTTAAAATTCAAGATGGCCGCCATTAACGGTAAGACGTCCAGTGTGTTTTCACATGACGTCACGGCGGCCATATTGGTGTCCCAAAACAATGAAACGGCGGCCATGTTGGTGTCCCAAACCAACCCAACTCTGGGAGTTGTACTCTTTTCTTGTGCAAACGCTTTCTTTTGTTCCAATAAATTTGCATAGATGTTGGCCACATGAGTGAAAACACTCTATATCTCTACGACCTCACGGAAAAATAGGGGACTGTGAACAGTGTAAACAGCTGCCAATACTAAAACTATTTTATATTTAGCTAGTCAAAAAGGCTAGTCATACGCCGACTGAAAAGCAAAAGTTATACTTGTTATGTTTCCTCACTGAGTGTCACGGAACGAAAAAATGGATTTGCAGAAATTTGCTCTTTGAAATATGTCGCAAATATGTAAATACTGAGGAGTAAATATATGGCAGAGATGGTAAATGCCATTTTATTTGCCTAGCTAGCTATTTACACCCGCTAGCGCTAGTAACCTGAATTTCATCCGATTACTTCGAGTCGTTATTACTCCCTCAGTAACGTCTGAATCGACCAGCCGTTAATGCCGTCCAGTGACGTCACTACTCCTTGACCTTTGCTTTAATTCATGCCAAAAGTAAAACACGATTTTCGAGTGGCAAACCGAGAAATATCGTTTGGAAATGTCTGCATGATACAGAATTGCCTTATTTTTTCGATCGTAATTCATGCTTAACGTTCAAACTATCAACTGCATGCAGTACAACTCTGAACCGGTTGTACTGAATTCTATAATCAAACTCGGTCGCAATCACGCAATGAAATAAACACTTAGTTCAAAAACACAATGATTTGCTCTAATTGAAGAGAAGCTATTTGGTCCTTAACGAAGAAAAACAACAAGGAAACAAGAAAGAAAAGCTAACAGAATCATTACACTTGACGGTGAAAATAGCAAGAAGGTCGAATTATAACATTGATCTCAGAAAACTTCGCGTAAACAAAATCACCGGCCGCCGAAACCACAAAGCGGCTCTAAATGAAAAACCTACCGACTCTCCGCAATGATTCTTCATTCGCAGTTCAATTTAGCATTTCAGTTTCGAAGACAAGGGTAATTTTGCTGTTTAAGATAAAGATTAAGCTTATCGAAATGTTTGAACTACACGAAAGAATGCCAGGGATGCGATCCGCTGAATATCAAGCGACAATCCCGCTAAAATTTTTGATAATTATACATAATTATGCGAATGTTTAGACAATCAACCAATCAAAATCACTACCCGGTTTTCGGGTAGTGAGTGACGTCACTGGACTGAATTAACGGCCCGTCGATTCAGACGTTGTTGAGGAGAAAACGACTCGAAACGATCGGATGAATTTCAGGCTATAGCGCTAGCCGTTTTATGGTATGCAAATGTCGCTTTTTACCATCCTTGCCATATATTTACTCCTCAATATTTACATATTTGCGACATATTTGCAAGAAGAAAATTTGTGCAAATTCATTTTTTCATTCAGTGTGTTCTCGATCGATCTCATCAGGACCTAATGTTTTATGTAGTAGCTTAATCCTTGTTTTGCACGTTTCTCTTAACACATTAATCACTCTATTCAATCTACTGCATCAGGTCTTAATCCAGGATAAGGCAAATTTATTATTCATGAATTTTTGTTAAGACAAATGAACCAACGAGGCGCGAGCAATCGGACCACAAAGAAGATAAAATACCGTTAACCCCTCTCAGACTTAATCGGACAAAGAACTCTGAAAGGCCAAACTTTGCAGCCTTTATTTATTATATAGTCGGATCTCTCCTTGGGGACAGAAGGAAGTGGCCGTTGTGGAGAGGTGGCCGTTATGGGGAAGTAGGGGAGTAATATGACCTTTTTTTAGGGAGTACAACAGCAAACAAAACAACAACAACAACATAAGTTTGTTGTAAGAATAAACTTAAATAATTAATGACACTGTCCCGCAGGTAGCAAAAGCTAATCTAGGCGGGACAGAAGAACAACTGAGGGTTAGGGTGTAACTTTCTTAAAATAAATATTATCACATAATCTTAAATTAGTATCATTACATAAAGACAGAGTTAGGGAAACATGTTTATTGCACTAAATTCATGCTTACTAAATCCAATAATGGTAATCCAATCGTATATAATATATATAGTGATAAAATACACACAAAAAACTGAAACAATGTTTTGAATCAAATTTTAACGTGAAAAAACGATCAAGGTTTGCAACATTCGCCATAAGTATCATAAGACAAATTTTGCTTAGTGTAGCAGTGTAAATGGAACACAACCATACTACTATCGCCGCGAATTATAAATAATCAAGGCGCTATAAGGATCAAATAAAGTTAATAACCATTCTTTTTCATCAGTCGCTGAAAAATCTGACCGTTGGCGAGAGGTTATTTTGGCAGTTGGGGACAAGCTTTAGGGGCCGTGGCCACTGTAGAGAGATGGCCGTTTCAGAGAGGTTTAAAGAAGAGTCAATGTATGGACTGTCCCGCTGGGACAAAAACAAGTGGCCGATGTAGAGCGGTGGCCGTAAGTGCAGGTTCGACTAAACTTAATGGAAAGTTCATTTATGTATTGCCGGGAGCATCTATCCTGCGAGCAGAGGTTTCTGTCTTGCATGGCTTTAAGAGTTTACCGAGTAGTTCGCGTGGCTTGTCTGTCGCGTAGTCACGGGACGTAAACAAACCAACCACGCGACACGCAAGCCACGCGAACGACTTCGTAAACGCTAACAGTCATGGAAGAGAGAAACCTCTGCTCACAGGGTAGAGCGCATCCAGTTACCTCAACTGAATTCGCCTAGGAGTTAAAAAAAAATTGCGCTTACTTTGAAGCCCAAATACATTAGATACACGAAACATTACATAATATGAAAAGAATTATGTTAATTATCTCACTGATGCGACGAAAGAACCGAAACCCTGTTTTGCGGATTTCCAGTACGAGCAGAACAGCAAATCTGATGTTTACAACAAGAAGGCAAAGATAGGTTGGAAGAAGGCCGATAAGAGTCAGGTAAGGTTGCTTGCCACTTTCCTGAAAGAGAAGATAGCGTTATTTTCAGTTGTTCTCTCCAGTTTCTGTTGTTGTAGCAGAAATAGTTAAGCAAAACTTCGAGGAACAAGCCCTAGCTACCTACACGCGAACTATACCTCTTTGGTTAGGCTACGTTGACGACACATTCACTGCCGTACACAAAGACAGAATCGACGATTTTCTAGAACACCTTACTGACACAGAACGCGGACATACAGTTTACCAAGGAGATCGAAGAAAATGGTAAGATACCTTTTCTAGACTGTTTCAGGTCACTCGCGACAACAACAGACTACGAACCACTATTTACAGAAAACCGACACATACCGACCGATCCCTAGACCAGTCATCGTACAACCCGACCTCTCACAAGGCTACAATCATACGGACTTTGAGCACAACTAGTTTGCGATTCACCTGACAGCCTACAAGATTTTACTGACTACCTAGATAACGTTTTTAGTAAAAACAACTACAACACGGACTTCGTCAGACAGAGCACTCACAGTAACACTGATTCCAACACTCAGACCAACGTCAACTCTGGCCCTGTTACGACAGCGACTATGCCGTACATCGGAGGCACCTCTGCAACTATCGCACGTATACTACAACCTTATAATATACGTGTTGCACACAAATTGATAACCACTTTACGACGACTGTTTACTAATGTCAAGGACAAAGACAAACCGGAGGACAGACAGGGAGCAGTATACAAGATCAAATGCTGTGACTGTCAGGCTACTTAGATTGGTGAAACCGGTAGCAACCTTAGCACGCGACTGACCGAACACAAGCGAGCGACGAGAAATGGTGACGCCAACAATCACACTGCTGAACACCATTTACAGACGAAACATCAAATGGACTGGGACTCTGCGACATGTATTACAGACTACTATCAACGACTGACTTTAGAAAGCTGGTTCACTAACTCACAACAAACGCCACTGAATCGTAGTCAACAGTTACCGACACCGTACAAACATAGTTATTAGAGGAGACTGGTTATGAAAAGCGACAAACATCAATGATAAAAACAACAGTGCTGCAGTTTATGTTGGAAGTACCGTGAAAGTGCACAATCCTTTGTTTTCTGTTGGCAAATTGTTACGGAATAAATTAATGCAACGTTATTATTGGTCAATACAATCAAAATGATAGGAATTCTTTGTGCACTTTCAGGTCCACAAAAACATATAACAAAGGAGTCTGACGGGTTTCATAACCATTCCACTCAATTAACTATGGTACAAAAGACTTATTGACGAAATCAAGCGAAACTAACTACGAAAGAATGACAGGAGAACTGACAATTTGACTAACAATAGACGACTGTTTCTCTGGGACAATAGACGGATCGAAACGCACCAATTACATTACGAGTCTTCATAGCCAATAACATAACGGCATAACTGACAAACGACCAATAAAATCGCGACGTAATTGACCAATCAGGTCAATAACCAGAGTATAATACCATCAACTGACTTGATACAACTCACTTTGACTCTGAAGATGACAACCGCACATGTTGTCGAAACGTCAGTCACCGTATCCAACAACAACAATCCTATTCACGACTACGTTCACCCGAACGATCAAACTCAACCTACTTTTGAAATTCTTGAAACTTACGCATGGTATGGCCTCAGCAAATGAAACTTTTTTATTCACTATTACATCTGACCATTAATTTGCAATTTTTCTTGAATTTTCTCGACCTTTTTCTGTGTTCTTTTGCGCTACTGACTAGCTCTCCTAATAGCGAGCAACAGTCTTAAAGTTACGCCTTCGAAAAAAACTACAATTTGACAAATCGTCAAATATTTCCCATGATCTGTACTAAAGTGGAACCACGAACCGCAGGCGAGTGGTTTCACTGCAAAGTTTTGAACATTTTGACGTCATTTCTATGGTCAATACGAGTACCGGACCATGGAAAATTGTTGTCGATTTGTTTATACAATAACACTGATACTATTTGAGGGAAAGACTAAAACAAACTGCGACACAATCACGTCATTTTCATGAACCTGTACTCTTATCGACCGACCATAGCTCTCGACCAATCAGCGCGCGAGAAAGCGCTCAGTTATTGTAAAACAGTTGTTTGATAACCCCTTGAGAGGAGCCGACACATCCTAGTCCTTATTAATTGTTCAGCATATTCTCTCAACAGACATTCATACTATACAACTATCCCCCGAAGGGGAGGTGAATAGTGGTGAGGAGATATATACCGAGACGCGAAGCATCGAGGTATATATCCGGCGCTCTGAACCGACCCTGATGGTTATAGTTGTTTTAGTGTTTACCAAATCAGCTGGATAAAATCAAAAAGGAAATTTTTGTAAATGAAAGACGTCACTTGGGATTTGTTTATCGATTCAATTGACAGCGTTTCGGGGATCATTTTTTTTATGATTTTGTTGGAAATTCAGTGAGAATTTTTTTTCTACCGACCAGTCAACACTGACAAGCCAAATTTTGACTCTTTCTTGGTATTTGTTGGTACAGAAGCTTCATTTACCGCCAAGATTCATCTTTTGAAACTGTCACGGAACGAGAAGCCATTTTGAATCCCGTCCCAAAACAGTGAATATCCACGGATATTCCGAGTTACGCAAGCCAATCAGAACGCGCGAAAATTGCTATCCACTGATTTGGTGAATACTACAAACAAATACAATGCCGATAGAAAATACGAGAGTGAAAGGCATTTTTCAAATACAACTCACATCGCCATCATTTGCGCACTGGAATTCAGTTGCAAGTTTGACACTGAACCTTTTAAACAGAAAAGGAAGACAAACACAAAACGTAAGTTTGCTGAACCACAAATTGACTCTAAGTTTTTCGAGTTTTCTGTGTTAAGGTTTAGTTATTACATAGGAACAAGACAGTCAAATCCTCTCACGATCTCTTATCGGTAGGAACGGGACGAATTCAAGGTGATGTCACACGAGACGATTCGCAACAACGATTTTTAGCGCAACACAGCGTCGCAACATTGTTGCGACATTGTTTTGAATGGTTCCAACATTGTTCCAACATTGCAACGCTGCATGCGTTGCTAATATATAGATTTAGCCAGGGCTAAAAGCGAAGCTCCCATTAATAAATTTATATTTTAAATCAAACAATAAACTTGTAATCCACAAATCAGTTAACTTAAGGGCACATTCATGTGACTTTTGAGAGAAAGGATAAGTTATTTTAGAGTGAAACATCTTACATCGAGTTGATAGCCTAAATATATGTACACCCAAAAAATAGCAAACATCTTCTATCACATTCAAGAGCCATAATGGCTCTTGATCACAGTAGATTAGGCCTCGAAAACAAATCAGGCCGCATTGTTTTGCGTTCGACAGGTTTACTTTACAAATCCTTGCCAACAAATCTGAGGGTGTGTAAACCAACCTTTTACACTTTTTATACATCACATCTGAGGTGAAACAGTACTTTTTATCATACAGACCTCGGACAGAATACGGCATTTCACAATTTTTCAATGTCCAGGACGATCAATCGTGGGCTTTTAGCGAAACCGTTCAAAAAATTTCCAAAATCACCCATACGGCCAGCCGGTTCTCATTTTTAGTGCGACCTGTCAGTGTGGTCGAGTGTTTGAATGAACTTTAATGGAGATACGCTTCAACATAATAACGAATTTATTATCATCACTTTTTGTTATTTAATGGTTCCAGTTATAACGATGTGTAATGTTATAAAGCGTTTGATACGCGCGACATTTCTAAGTACTCCTGCAAGCGATGTTCATGAACGATGAAAACAAACACCACGGACAAGCGATTAAAATTGCAAGAGAGACTACTAACAATCAATAAAAGAAATATAATTCGGTAAAACATTTACAGAGACAACAATTTTCATTCACGAAGACAAGTATTAAAGTGTCTCTAAAAATCCTGAGTCTTTAAGCTTAAAGCTTAAGCTTAAGTTTATTTTGTTTTACTTTCAGCCGGCCTCCCGGTGTTTGTTTTGTTTTTCAAAGATGAACTCCTCGAAGCAAGAAAATCACTCAGAGTTTTCTTTCTACAGCTAAATTTGTAACTAAATATTCTTCGGAACGTTTTTTTTCTATTTGTCGTGAAAAAAAAAATCTGAAGGCCTTTTAAAGTTCTGTAAGCTTATATCAAACCTAATACTAGATCAGATCATTGACTCAAA